TCCTGGATTTCAGCAAGTCCAGCTCATCTGGATTAAGGCCTGTAATCACTCATGAGAGGTTTTTGTTTCTCCACAGCATTGATGCTTCTCAGAAGATTACTTCATAGTTACCTGCTTGCCAGAAACTTCTGAAGGCTTCATTCTCTGTTTATTCTTACTGAAATACAGAGATGTTTACCTATAATCCTCTTTCAAAATCCTTCTTTGTTTCTGGATGTGGCCAAAGTCTTCATGTATTATGGCTGGCTAGTGGATAATAGCTCATAGCACTCATTGTGAAACAGTTAATAAAATCTTTGTGGTGTTCAGATTTTGTGTCAAATTTATCCTAAAAGGGTCTTAATGTTTCATCTCAGATTTTCTGTCAAGACTGACAGCTTTTTTTGAGGAGCTCTATTAAAAGAAAAGAAAACACTAGAAACTTTTTTGTGTTCTGTTTTGTATGTCTGATCACTGTTCAAGCTGTCTTGAACAGTGAAATCATAAGCGGGTCATGCCATCCACTTGTTTCTTCCACCATAATCTTGCATATTTTCCTTTTGAACATTAAGATACAAATGTCAGTACGTGGAGATCTGTAAAGTGGCAGAATAGCAGTGTTTTCTCAAATCTACCTTTGATGTGGTTGTCAGATGGTACATTGGAAGAGCTACACTTCAGAATCTGTGAAATGCTGTGAATTCAGGTGCTATGGCTAACACAACTGTTTCATTTTGAAACATCCTTCTTCTCTCATCAGGCTGAAGGAGACAGCTGCATGGGAAGGAGCTGCACTGAAGGATCCTTCAAAAAAGAGGAGGGTTGTCAAATCAGCATTGTGTAGTCTCTGAAGGATTTATGGTTAATTTTTGAGGGACTGTCCTTCCATTTTGTCTTTACATTCTTAATTTGTCTCAGGCTTTGAATGACAGAAGAACCAAGGAATGATTTTAAGCTCTTGGTACTTTGTCACTAAATAAGTGAGACAGAAGGTACAATCCACTTGTGCTGCCCAGCAAATGTACATTGAGAGAACTGATACTGAGCTGCCCAGTTTTTGGAGGTTAATGATATTATTTCCAAAAGATCATTTTGTGTTAAGAGCTTTTACAAAGCCATTGTCAAAGTACCCTCCAGAACTAGGAGACTTGTGTAGGAAAACTCTTATGAAATATAATATTAATATTTTCCTGTGGTGGGAAAAAAAATCTTGTTTTTTTCTTCAATAGAAGTTGGTTATCCAGAGTTAGAGCTAGAAATTAAAGCCTGGGATATGAGTCATTGGTTGTCTGATTTGTTAGTTGTCCAGGAAATATTGATAGGAGACTGATTAAACATGTGTCAGTTCTACATTTTAGGGCATCCTCAGAAAATACCCTTCTAACTACATAATAGAGCTTTGTGAGAAGATGGAGAAGAAATGGAGAAATTGTATTTTTCTGAAGCATTAGAGAATGCCCACATCTGCAGATAGCATTTTTGAGTGGGATAAGATGAATTAGTGTAATTTAGGGTTCCATAAACCTGGGGTCTGACCATCTTGGTATAGTCAGACTTAAGAGTAAAAGGTTACAATTACAGAAAGTTATTTGAATATACACTCTATCAGAAAAACTTTAAAAATATATATACCTTTTTACAGTAAATATTAAATGATACTAATGTTGATACTCTTCCAATTAATTATAGGTTTAATATTTTCCTGTTTCTTAATTTAATTTCTGGTTTGTGCCTAGTATTTCCAAAAGACACGGTAGAGTTTTCCTCAGAACAGATGTATGTACCATGAGCATATTTCCAGATGCAGAGAACTGCTAACTAGTTGACTATACTCTGGTGATTCATAGCTCTTCCTATGGAAAATATTTTTTTATTGCTGTAGTTTTGGCACTAATCTAATTAGCAGAAACTTCCAACTCAAACTGAGACCTTTCTCCTGCGGTAGGAGATGGCCTTCTTTCTCTTTGTATCAAGTTTGTTATTTTGCAGTTACTTGCATTGACACCGAGTGTTAAACATCTCTTGCTTTTCAGCCTGATGCGCCAGAGGACTGTTAAGCACCTGGTGCTAGTCACAGGTCATGGTTTTCAGTGAAAGTGTCCCACAATGTTATCTTATGATAAGGAGGTAGTTAAAACAAACAATATTAATGTACTGTATCCAAACTTACTGTTCAATATTTGTTTGCATTTCTTTTCATGGAATTTATATTCTTATATGAAAACCTTAATGTCACTGCCATGGGGGCTTCTCCATATTACCAGTGAAGATTATGTGAGATCCTTACTTTATGATCTATTTTCTTTAAGTATTACTCTATGGAATGAAAAAAAAGAAAATAATGTTTCCTGTCTTTTGACAGGAAAGTTCTTGAGGAAACAGAATGCATTGCAGTGAATTTTAATATGAAAATTAATGAAATAAACTTAAATATACTACTGATTACATCTTGAAAAGTATTTGAACCTTTAGAACATTTTATTCCTAATAAGAAAACCTGAAGTCTTTACTGATTCTATTTTATAGTGCCTCTCTGTTCTTACACACTTCAGTAAGTGCTACACATGCTTCAGTAATGGGAGTAAAAACCTAAAAAACAGAGCCAGGATTCAAGTCAAAGGCTGGTAGTTTTAGCTCTGGCCTTATTGCCACGACCTCACCATGAAAAAGAATGACATACTGCTTCTAGAAACTTAATACAAAAGAATGTGAAAGGTCTAGGCATGAAATGGAGGAAAACAAGGGCCAAATTTAAGATCAGATTATCTGCTTGTAAACAAGTGATATTTATCAGCAGCAGGTAATCTGGATTTACAACCATAACCTGCATAACAGGCTCTTCCCAAAAACCTTCTAAAGTACATATCTGGCTCAACATTCAGTACTGAAGCTTGTGTATTTCCCTTATGCTTGTCTACACAGACAGGTCACTTCATTTTAATTATGTTGTTATAATTAAAATGAGACTGAAATTATACTGATTTTTCTGATTCGTTCAATTTTTGGAGAGTCAAATAATTAGCCTAGCGTAATGCTTTGTTGCAAGGCTGGAATAAGTGTGTGAGTAGTATTCAACTAGTAAATTAATTCCAAATTTTCTCTTTCTGTTTGGTTTTGTTCATGTTCAAAATGGTTATAATGGAAGAGCTTTCCAGTGTTACACAAGCTTTAAAAATTTCTTTCTCCTATTCTCTATTTCCCCTCCTCCTCCATGTATAATTTTATCAGGATTGGGTCACGTAGTTCTCTCCTGTGCTGTTTTTATTCTCCTCAAGCACACCCTTCTGTGTTGCTCTTGGTTCAGAATCTTCTTTTACCTCTATTGATCATGTGAACGTGGACGTTGCACTACAATTTCAAAGAGCTTTCTGGCTTATGATAACGCTCTGCTAAAAGAAAAATGCAGAAATGACTATCAGCAGATGCACTCTTTATAAGGCTGAAGAGCAACCAAGTCCATTTCTGTTTAAATGAAGTTTAAAACTAAACACATTTTAAAATATCTCTCCTCCAAGTCATAATTGATAGTGCTACTTTGCTGAGCACAGTGTGGATGAAAATGATCCATGTAGGATTCACCTCAGCAAAATCTTCACTGTGAGGTTTTTCTACGAACAGATGAACTGCTTCACTGAGAACTTGACACTTCTGACCTTTTTGTATTTTCTTGCCTCCCCCCCCACCACGTGCACTTTGTTGCAGACTCAAATGAAAATGTAAGAAGATTTTGAATTAAAATGTTCAGAATTGTCTCTGAAAACCCATAAACAAAGACACTTTGGCACTCTCCATATTATCAAAGCTCCATAACACCAACATTTCAGGCAAAGAACGCTGTCTGGAGCAGTTAGGAAAGCTTGTTGAGAACAATGAATCCTACAGGTTCAGTCTTTGGGGGTTTCACATGTACACAGAAGGCAACTCCATTCCACAGATCTGAATCTCCTGTGTCACAGCCCACACGTGGTCATTCTCCCAGTGCACAGTGCCCTAGGCTGGTGAGTACACTCAGGTGGAAGCTGGACTTCAGAAAGGCATCTTGTGTGTTACACAGGCCAGTCCTTTCTTCCAGACTGCGTGATGAGGTATTCACCAAAATTTATGGAGCAACTGTGCAAGCCAAGTTCTCCTGCTGTCAGTGCCCAGAAGTAAGAGCTGTGAGATGGCCGTGGAGCCTGCTGATCTGAAGCAGGTCTGGGGAGTCTCCTTCTGGTGACTTGCAAGAAGCCAGTGCAGTCTGACTTGCTGTATTAGGTATCTCAAGTTGAAAAGCAACGAAATATGCTGCTTTGCAGGAATGTTTCTATTGAAAGATGAGTTCCTGTCCAAGACTTTCTAAGAAAAGGATAGATGCTGTCCTCTATAGCTAAGCAATGAAGGTAATCAGCAAGTCTATAAAGTTAAACCTGAACCAATTCTGTTCATTCTCCATCTCAACATGAAAGTCAAATGCTATCTGTTTCTGAACTGACAGCTTTACATGATGAAAGAAATGTTAATGCCTAAAGGCTTATAAACCCCAGGCACCTAAAAAGTGATGAACTCTAGAATATTTTTTTGTTTAAGAAATTAGGAGAAAGCAGACTGAAGGGGGTCCATCCAACCAAAAATTACAGGTTTTGAAATATTTGTAAATAATAACCATCCCACTGCCTGGAGACCGCCTGGCAGTCTCAAACCCACGTTTGTGAGGGTGGGGGTGAAACATTGCTGCCTCCTTCTGTGAGGGCTGGCTATTAAAGGAGGCTTAGAACCATTAATGGAGACAACTTGGAAACATGGTAGGTAGGATATGTGGATTTTGATGATGAAATGAAAAACCTTCCACAGTTATTTCTGGTTCTTATTGTACAGTAGTTCACTTACACTCCAAGTTTTGAGAAAGGAAGGTGAGTTTTTTCCTGCTCTTTATAAAATTGTACATTTTACATTACATTTCCTCATAAAAATAAAAAAACAACAAAGCAAACAGAACAGTTTTATCTTCATACAGTAAAGTAATTCTCTTTAATTTTCTATAGGGCTGGCCTTTGCTGTTTTGTCTTCAGTCCACCCAGTTTTTGGTTTATATGGATCTTTTTTCCCTGCCATTATTTATGCCATATTTGGAATGGGACGTCACGTTGCAACAGGTAAGTGTCTGTTTGCTGAAGTCGTTTCCAAAAATAAAGGATCGGATACTGAAATTTATTCCTGTTTTAAGGTCAATGGAAGGAAAATTACCTATGATTAAACAAAAATAAGATGTTTTGTGCTTCTCTTTACAACTGTTTTTTGTCAGTTTAAGTACTTTAAAGAGCCTCATTAAGAATATCTTGGAGTTACTCCTGCCATTATAATTTAATATTGCACTAACACTTCCTTTGTAAATGTAATTTAGTAAGAGCTTTTTGTATTTTAACTTTGCTTTAGAAATCTGCTTCAGGCTAAGAGTTTAACACAGGGCTCTGCCAACAAGATGTATGTAAATGGAAATGAAAAAGGTTCGACTGCCTCTTTAACCATAGAAAACACACATTACTTCTCACCTGTCTAAAGCATAAATCCTGCATTTTTCAGGAAAAGAAAAACAAAAACAACCTTCTGAGCCCATTACTTGCTATTGTATTAAAGCTAGAGACTCTCCCAATAAGGACTCTTACCCTCTTGCAGAGTAGTTGGGTAGACAGGGAAAGATGCTGCCTGGCTAATCTGCTGGTAGTTATGAGTTACTTGTTTGCCCTCAGCAGAGCCTCAGCAGCTGAAGAACTGAATGGCTTTGTGCTCCTAAGAGGTTGATGAATGCTCTGTTTCTGAGCCCAAATAAGTCCAATTATAGAGGGCAGCTGGAAATAATACTCATTAGATTGAACCACAAATTCTTTGCTGTGCAGAAGTGGGCACTTGATGGCCCCTGAGGTTTGCAAGAAGGATGAGATAGGCGCAGTAGCAGCTCACAGCATGGCTGGGTAAAGGGAAGCAGCCCCTGTGGCTGCCAGAAGATTTAAGCAGGGAGGAGGCATCCCTTCCTTGAAGAGGAGAAAATCTCCTGAAAGGACAAAACATGGTTCTGGGTAATCGCACTCAAAATGAACTCTGCAGAGTCTGATCGCACAAGTGTATGCATGTTCTACTAAGAAGTTAGCAACACATTTTGAGCACCCTTTTTGGTCAAAAATATTCAGGTACATTACAAAAAAAATACAATTCTTAACAGCTATAAATTTTCTTAGAGAAAAAGGAAAGCTGAAAGTTTGCTTTCCCTATATGTACAGAGAGTATTTGAGCCTTTTGATGTCTGAAAAGGATCTGTAGACGTGTTAATGTCCTAATGCTGTAATGTTGTAATGATTGTATTCAACTCATGTTAAAAGGGAAGCATTCCAAGAAAAGGTGGAAATTTAGAATCTGGAAAATAAATTTTATTATTGAATACAGATAGATTAAAATTTTAACCTATATTAAAAAGCCGTTTCAAAACAAAAAAAAAAAGAATTAGAAGTGTATTGTCAGAAGTTTGTTGGTATATGATTATTAGGAAGACAAGAACCCATCATATGTAGGAAAGATAGGTAAGCATCTGGCTGCCATAAATTCTAGTAATGAAAACAGTTGATAAAATAGGTAAATATGCTGTTAAGTCTGATGTTTTATCCTTGGGAGGGAATAGTGTTCAGAGAATGCCTTACTGAGTTCCACAGGTTCATGTGTGCAGATTTCTGCATGGTCCTTGGTGTGGAAACTCTTTCCACTCTTAATTCTATTTCAAAATTTAATCTCAATCAAAAAAAAAAAAAAAAAGGCAACAAAAGAATTTTCTTGCACATATGGAATTTTTAAAATTAATAAATTTGAGTGACATATATTGTTGATCTTTTCAGAAGGAAGGTCTCATGCACTTGTTCCCCCAGCCTCAGTTAAGGCATCGTGGTGTGTAGCTGAGTGCAGAGGAGCCATACTGCCTGCCTCAACTGCTCCATAATTCCTTGTGGACATTGGAGACAACCTCTTCACTTACTAGAATTTTCTGTAAGATCTGTGATGCTCCCCATATGTACACAGGCTGTAAAAGTGTTCTTTGTTAGTGAGGACAGTCATGTTAGCATGAAATGGAAAATCCATCAATGGCCCTGTTCAGTTAACTTTTATCCACTTGAAATGCCTCTTTGAAAAGGCTGATCTACTTGAAGAGTTTTCTCACCTGAGCAATAAACATATACAACTTTTCTTGACTTTTCTTAACATAATTGATTTTGAGCCATCCTGAGACAGTTTTATCTGCCGTAAACAACACATATAAGTCTTTGATTTAAGATAGAATTTCATGTCAGCTGTTTTCAAATTTAATTTTATGCAAACATCTTAAAACTCTAGAATGGCCAGGTTTGGAAGGAACCTTAAAGGTCTTCTAGTTCCAGCCCCTCTGCCATGGTCAGGGACAACTTCCACTAGGTTAAGTTGCTCAGAGCCCCATCCAACCTTGCCTCGAGCACTTCCAGGGATGGGGCAAAAAAAGCTATGTATAATCAGACCCTGTTGGAGAGGAGTTAATGTGACTTATGTAAAGGAAAATCCTACTTCACTACCATCTAGACTACTGTATGAATGTCAACAAGTGCATGGAGAAGGGATATACTTTGAATATGAGATAACAGAATAGTCAAACAGCTACTGATAAGGTTCCACACCAAAGGTTCCACACTAAAGAAACTAAGTTGTCCTTGTGATAGAAGAAAAGTCCTTTTATTAATTATTAGCAGGTTGAAAGATATGAAGCAAAAGGCTGGACCTCATGGTCACTTTTCAGGGTGGTGGTATCCCTGGTGGGTTCCTGAGGAATTCTTGCTGTGAGCTTTACTCTGTGAAGGCCAAGGTGAGGGCAGGACTGCATACACCAGGTCCTGCAGCAGTAGAAAAAAGGCAAGTTCAGAGAGATATTGTTTTAAAAGACTTTTAAAATATAGATTAAAGAAAACATTACAGGAGACGCTGAACTTCTGCAACCTGCTCTCAGAGGACACTGTGGAAGAGAAATTAGAGGCAGGTTCAGACAAACTTTTGTCAAATTCACGAATGCAAGTCCACAAACAAAATCAAAAAAAGCCAGCTAAGGAAGTACTTCTCTAACACAACAGCTCTGAATGCTGGCAACAAGGGCAATGGACCACAGAAAATGGTCAGCCTTGTGAGATTTCCCCAGGGATCACATCTGACTGTCACAGCTGGAGGCTGAGTACTGGGCAAGATGGGCCATTGGTCTGACATAGCAAGATATTCTTATGCTCTAATAGCTCTGCATGTTTGTGTCTTTTAATGTTGAATTCTTATTCAGTTATCTTTGTGTCATTAAATGTGCTTTATCTCTGTCAGCAAATAAATGCTTTTTCATAACTTGCCTCCATTTATTAGAGTGCTAGGTACTATTTAATGGACTAGGTACTATATATGTAGTATGAATTAATTGCCCTAGAAATTTGAATGGTGAACACTTGGGATTCTCAGAGAAATAGCTGCTTGATCACATTCAAGGTGAGTTAAAAGCATTTCTGATAACTTGAAATCATTGTAAATTGTTGTATTTGAATATCTTTTGTAAACCTGTCTTAACAAATGTGCTAAAAAATTACATTTAATTTGCCTGTATAAGTGCTATTTTATGGGAAGAAATGGGTGTTACATAGAAAAATTACCTTAAAATTGTTCTTATGATGACAGGAATGTATAAAATGGCACTTTTACTTATAGTGGCCATTTTAAAAAAGAGACCATGAGTGATGAGTACAGACAGATATACAATTATTGGTGATTAATGTGTGGCTTTTTTTACAGGAACTTTTGCTTTAACTTCCTTAATATCTGCCAATGCAGTTGAGCGTCTTGTTCCTTCAGTCAGAACTAATTTCACTGCAAACAATAATTCAGGAATTTTGGGTTTGTCAGAATTTGAAATGCAAAGGATTGGAGTTGCAGCAGCAGTTTCATTTCTAGGAGGAATCATTCAGGTTGGTAGTGATTACATTTTCTGTGTGCTACTGATGTACTGCCTTTGTTACAGCTATGACATTTATAATAGTTTTTATATTTCTCTGAGAAAAACTAATGAAAACATCTGCTTCAATGGTCATAAATGATGAAATTAATGCACTTTAAGAACTTGCTATTCCTTTATTGAGATGTCATAATTATCTGTATACATTCTCCCAGTGTTTTATAATATGAAGCAAAACCACCTTCAGTCAGCTTTACCATAATACTCACTTGCAGTGGGTGCCCCTTTTCCTTCTTCAGAAACAAACATGAATCAGCTCCTGGTAAGCACTGACATATTCCTGAGGCTTTCTGTTGCCCTTGGCTTGAAAAGCAATACTATACAATATCCAATAATTAAAAACAGTAGGGAAAGTTTTAAATTCTCTTTAGAGTTCACACACCCATCATTAAAGTGAAATAGTAAAACAGATGTCTTCAAATGATTCCCTAAAGTTTATTTAAATGATCAGAGGTCTTTTAAATTTCTTCTTTTTTCTTATTCTGGCTAAAAGGGCCACGTTTCTTTATCTATTGCCAGTTGCTTAGGTCTTCAATGAAGTCTTCCCTCTTTCCTTGTAAATATTAAAATAGAAGTAATGTGCCAGCATGTGACATTGCAACACCTCCTAGGTACCTGGGCTCCTGAAACAAGCCCAGACCTCTCCACTTGGTTCTTTGGTTCCCTCTCCCATGCAGAGGATGGGCAAAGGGGCCCAGAATGGGATCTCCAGTAGCCTATGTGCTTGGCAGGAACTGGGGCATGTACTTATGTTAGTCAGCAGGAAATATCAAGAAGAATTGTTATTTCTGTTGCGTTCTTATAATTCTATTATTGGTTTATGATGAGGATTCTTTTACTGGATTATGACTTGGGGTAGGAGCATGAGGGACAGCCTACAGACAACACAGAAAGCAGAGCTGATGCAGATTGTGCCTGGCTGTGCCTGCACGTGCTGTCCCAATGTGCAGCCCAGCACTGCATCTTATGCAGGGTGCTTGCAACAGCAGAGCATGAATGGAGCTCTTCATGCAGGAGTCCTGTGCCCACAGCTTGGAAATCTCCTGCATGACGGCCAGAGAGGCCAAAATGCCTCATGTGGGAAGCTGGTGCCTGCATTCATTTGATATAACTTCAAAATCCAATGCAGAAATTATTTTGCTTGGTGGCTGCAGAATCCCGTTAGGTGTGTGAGTCCTCCAGACCTCTTACTCTTTCATCCTGAAAAGTTCTGCTTTTTCATATGTCTTCCACTGCATCAGCTGGTTTATCTCAGCCTGTGTCCTGTTTAACCCTGACTGGAATGAGAAGAACTGGTAAATCCTGTCTGCATCTTCATAGAGTTCAGGCAGGGAACTGTGCCACGTGCACGGGCTCCTCTCCCAGGTCAATGATGTCACTTGCATTAGAATCATACTAACACAGCTGGTTCTCACCATGCTGCCACTTGTCCTTTTTGTAAGTTTAATGGTTGGAGGCCAGAGTAAAACACTTATTTCCTAAAGAAGTGCCTTGAATCTACTAATACTGCAATAAGCAGATGAAATTCCTGATCAAGGTTGAGATTAAACTTTGCCATTTTCCCAGGTGCTGTTAAGTGTGGGAATCTATGTCTAATCAAGATTCCAGTCTCCCAACTAAGAGTTGCTGCTAACCCCAGATAAGGTGACAGGGCACATCTTGCTCTTAATGGAGAGCTAAATCAGCCACCTTCTTCTATTTATCAGATTAGATCAGAAATTAACTAATAGCCTGAAACTAATGTATGTTCTGGGACAAGAAGAATTGTATGATGCATTTTGAGGCAAGAGCTTTTCATTGATGACATCCTGAAATACAAGCAGAAGTTGTATTTCCTGTGTAGTTGGTATCTGGCATGGTACTGCTCTGGGAAGGGAGCAGACCTGGGTTATGTTATCTACTATAAGACTTTAATTTTTCTGAAAAACAGTCAAAATGCAGTTCTCTAATCAGCCACTAATTGCACAAAAACAATAGATGCTGTGACTAATCCCTACCTTGGGCATCCTCCAGACGAACGATGAAAAGTCCATGCCAAAACAGCTGTTTCCTTCTTGGAAAGAGTAGGTAAAGAGCTGTACACCCTGGGCCTAAAAAGAAATTTGATGCTATTTTTCCAGTAGCCTGGCTAAGTACTCCAATCAGCAAATAATATTAAAATAAAAGGGAAAATATACAAAATAGTGAGTAATGGAGGAAAAGCAGGGGAAGGGAGGAGATGTTTTTGAGATGAACTGCTGTTGGCTAGTTTGTGTTTATTGTAGACCACAACTGTGCATTTGTGTGTAAGGCAAACTCTGAGCAGGCTCTGTGAATTTCAGTGCCATCTAGACATGACATAAATTAGCACTGTTTTCTGATCATAAGATAAGAACAGGTAGAGATTGTCACAATTGAAATTTGGGGCTTAGCTGCTTAAATTTTTCTCAAAGTAATAAGTTTCAAAGTCCTAAACTACTTCTGAAATCTAAAGTTTGAGAAAGTGTTCATAAAAGAGAAAGAATATTTAGTTATATTAAGAGCCGTTCTGATGAAGATAAAATAGTATTAAAATAGAAAATAAGTAAACATAAAATAAAGACTGTAATTACCAAAACCATTTAATATAATTGCATTCATTATTTCATTTTAAAAAAGCAGAATGGAAGGCATAATGAATATTTTTTTTATGTTTGTGTAGCTGCTACTCTATAAAGATAAACAGGGCATGGAAAACAAATCAAACTAATAGAAATCTTCCCTGATATCCAGTACCTCAGAGGTATTGATGGGGAGAGAAAATGATGGAACATAGCAGATATCTATGGAGGAATTTTTTAATTAAAATTGGATGCTGCCTTTATAACATTAAAAAAATCCTGAAAAGAGCTTTTGGGTAAGATTTTTTCCCCTATTAATATATGTGCAAGAATGTTTGCATAAATATATGTGTCTGTAAAATAATCTCAGCATACTAAACTGAAATTCAAGATTAAAATTTGCTGAATAAATAGAGGAAAGTCCCTTACAGATCAAACAGAAAAAAATACCCTAGGAAAAAGCCTTAATTCTCTTAAGACCATGGTGTTATAGACTTCAGTTGGGCTATTTTTCTGTAAAGGAGAAATAGCTGCTTATTGCATTCCAATCTTGTAACATTTTTATTAGCAAGTTATTCATTTACTGTATTTTAAAAACTAACATGTAATTAGTTGCTGATATACAGTGTTGGATATAAAAATGTTTCTGGTTTTCAGGAGAACAAATTTACACAGTCTATTATTAATTTGCTTAATAACAAAGGAACACATTTGAATAAGAAGGGTGTTTTTGTAAGGCAATATTCTTGTCCAAATCTCTATTTCCCCGTGGGAAAAATGATGCTGCAGTATTCTGTTACACATAGCTCTTCATGAGGTAAAACCATGAGTCTATTACACAGTGATAATCAGGAAAAAAGTTCATTTTTCTTTTACAGTGGAAATACCTTATTGCAGGCTCATATTCTGTATTTTGAACACTACAAGTAGGCTGGGTGGGAGTTCTGCTTCCCACAAATATAGAGAGCATACTATGTGTCAGTACAGAAAGACCACAGAAAAGACTTTTTCAGGTCCTGGAATGAGGAAAGTTCACTCTGCACACCATCAGAAGGTACCAGACACTCTCAAGACACCCAGAATGAACACAGGAGCTGCAGCTCAGAAAACCAAAAAGCCAGGCATCTACCAGTTAGATGTCTATTGAAACAGGCCATGGAGAGTTTTAAATTGGCAACTCAGCTGAGTAGAACTGTGTCTGGCTGTTGTCTCCAGAGGGTCCATAGGAGTCTTCACTTTTGCTACCTTAGATTTTGAGATAACCAATATAATGTACTAAATGAGAATCTCACAGCCTCTGCTGGTTTTCTCCAAGTGATGTCCCCATGTCTGGCCTCATCTATGCAGCCCATGCCGCCAATGATCAGGAAGGGCCCCACCACTTTGTCTGCTGTAAGAGTGGAAAACCCCTTCCAGAACAGTGGAATTTTCAGGGGTTTAAAATTCATTCTGCAAAGCTGAATCTGTGCAGCAGGCAACACGATATCAGTCTTCCAGTTTCTGGGGACAGAAAGTTTGACATTAGTGATTTCCAAAGAGCTGTTAAGTGATAAAAATTTTTACTGGCCATGAAGTTAAATTGACTACATGTTGAATGGAATTTTAATAATCATAATAATAATAGACTGAGCATGTTGTCATGGGAAGAAAGTATTGAAAGTGGACAAGAACCAAAGGTTCTGAATAATGAACATAGAGGGCTTTGCTTTTTGCAATTGCTCATTTTTCTTCTCCTGGCTAAATTCCCATTCTCTTCTACTTGTCAGAGTAAAATTATGGAGCAATAAAGACAGCTGCAAAAAAAAAGGTTCCCTTTGTATTGTCTTTCTTCCATTTTGAAATTTACTTATTTTTTTCCATTTTTTTTTGTGGGGAATCACACCTTCCCCCATTTCTGTCTAATCACTTCATTGTATACCTTTTTTCTGTGATTTTTTCTCATTTACTGTGCATTAACTCAAGGTTGCTTTCCCCCACTTTCTCTTTTATTGCTTTTTCTTTTCTCTGAAAGGTCTTGATTTTATTTACCTTAATTTATTCAAGATAGTATACCTGATGAAACCAAAATTCATCTCAAGAAAGTTACTTCTTAATGAACCTTTTTTCATGGTACTATATACTGGAAGTGCCACACAAATAAACAATAGCCAAGTGCCTTTCAAACCACTTTTATACTGTGCATAGTCTTTCCCTGAAATCTGCTTTTATCCTCTAGGAACTACGTTTTTAAAAATTAAAAATTCTGCATGCAATTCTAAAATACGTGAATCTTTTTTTTCTTTTACAGTTTAAGAAAATCTCAGTATTATGACAAATAATAAAAAGAAAAAATATTTGCGCTTTTTTGTTGTTGTTGTTCCAGCACTTTACTGTCACTTTTCTCTGTTGTTTGTCTGCATCAGGAACAAAAAGAAATCATAAAATGTACCAGAAAATAAAGTGGAAGACCTACAAAAATGAGCATCACAACCAATAGCCAAAATAAAGCAAATTGTTAGACATTTCTTTAAGAATATTGGACTTTCTATAGTTTGGTCAGTGTTACTGGGTGAAAGATTTTATGACATAATGCAATGTAATGTAATTGAGTGCTGTCAGCTTAGCTAAGTTTCAAATGGTGTTTATTCAAAATGCAGTGGCAGCCAAGCTTAAATGGCCCTTGCCCAGCATGGAGGGTTAATTGTAGAGTCAGTCCGGGCCTGTGTAAATGCTAATAATTTTATCTGTCAAGAAAACTCACATCCAACTAGATTTGAGAGGCTTGTTTTAAAATTTTTTTCCTCTTCATGATCCAAGCAGTTTCTGTCCATTGCTCATGTTGCGGGGACAACATGAGGGTCCCATACCAGTTTGTGCTGAAAGTTACACCCTCCACCCAGGATGTTTCCTGTTCTGGTAGCTTCATTTTTAAATCTTCTACATGGAAGGTGTATTGGTGCACATCATGTTTTTTTAACTATCATGTAAATAAAGAGTAGGATGTTCATGCTCATGGAGTACTGCCTTTGTTTCTGGAAGTGCTGAGCTGCCTTCTGCAGTAAGGAGAGGGGACCAAGTGTTGCTTGTTTAATTGAGTGGCTACAGAAATTGTCTAACTGAAACCATAGCCATGGTTTGCATGTATTTTACATAGCCTATGGTTCCATGCAATCAATAAAAACTGGGTTTGAAATGTGTTCTTTTAGTTGGTACCTGTGAAGCATCCCCTTAACACGCTAACCGAAGATTAACCGAAAAAAAGTAAAAAACCGAAAAGTAGATCTGAGAGTGATGCTAAAATTTCTAAGCTCAGCAATCATTTTGCTGTAACTCACAATAATACCTTTCTCTGAAATGCTAATAGTAGCTAATACTTCTCTGTGATATTATGTAGTACACAGAATTGTCTCTGTGGTTTTTATTCCATGGCTAAATAAACATCCAATTTCCTGGAAACGAAGCTATTACACAGTTAGAAATTTCACATTTAGACAATAGAAACCAATTTTAGAAAACAAACAAAAATTCCCAAGGGAAGGGAGAACTGAATTCTTATTGAACTTTACTACTGTGAACAATGTTTTAAATATAGTAGTAGACACACTGTTAGAACAAACAGCTAAACAAAATATCTGAAATTAGTAATTATCAGTTTTAGGCCTGACTAACTAAATTACTACTCACTGAGGGTATACAGTAATTATCATTATTGGAGTCCAATCTTGAACGGCAATCAATTTTCCAATTGCTCATAGTAGAGAACAATTTACATGTTATTAGTGGGAAGTAGAAGAAAAATCTCAGATTTAATCACTAAAATGGAAGAGGATATTGCTTACTAGAGGTTTTGTGGGAAATTAAAAGCCACTTATTTTGATATTTTTGTTTCTTTTGCGGTACTATGCCCAAAGCTCTCTGCATACAGGTGAGTTTTATGGTGAGAACATGAATGGTGTTCAGGCATAAAGAAAAATAACATCTGAAAATAACAGTTATAGCTTCAGAAAAAAAACCCAAAACAAAACAATCCCCCAAAAAATCAAGGGGGACGGTGACATGTTTCAAAATGATCATACTTAGTATGGTAATCACAAAATGAACTTCTCAGAAAGTATTGTAACAAACAACTCTGTGCCAAGAGCATGTAACTTTTCAGGGAGAAGAAGAGCAAATGCAAAAGACCATAGAAGTAAGAAACTGCAAAACTCATTGTGAGGGGAGATAATGTCAATGTAACTTACTCTGGGTCAGAAAAGCATGAAGTGTTATTTAAACCACAGTAGCAGCTGTAGTCATGTAACAACTTTGTCCAAGGAATTAAGAATTCTCAAATGTCATCCTTTGGAGGGAAAGAATGTTCAAAGCCCAGGATAAGGGGAAAAATTTGAACACAACAATACCTACAATAGTTGTAGGTCCTGCTGTAGTTTAAATTTCTGGATTAGAGGTCTCACCACAAGAGTCTCTATAGCACCTCATAAATTTGGTATCTGTTGAAATTACTAGTGTTGGGAATCCTGACAGTGAATGACATTACGGCAATCAGTAAGCTGACCAAGATATGGCTGGCTCTTGGCCCATTCAGGCTGCATAGCAGTGGAGCAGGAATAAGTCTAAGAACCAGCCTCAGATTTTGAGTTGCTGTACTTGTTGCAGTGTTGAGTTGATGTTTTTATGGTGTTTATTGTGCTTACATATTTGAGCAGGAGAGAATATTTAGAGTTTCTTTGAGTCTGCTTTTGTTACTAAATCAGTGTTAGAGTCTGGTAAACCAGTGAGTAATCTAGTGCAGGTAAACCCACAGAACTTCAGTGCGTTCCGTTTTCAGATAGATTTGTCTTCCAAAGGACTTTTGCTTTGTATGTTTAGCTCATTTATCTTATAACTTATTAAAAGGACTCTGACTCATTGTCCTATCACCAAGAAGCTCTGATCCTGCTGCCTTTTCCTTTTAGGTAGTGATGTTCATGCTGCAGTTGGGCAGTGCCACTTTCTTGTTAACGGAACCCGTCATAAGTGCCATGACAACAGGAGCGGCTACACACGTCGTGACTTCACAAGTGAAGTATCTGCTGGGAATGAAAATGCCATATATATCAGGACCACTGGCATTTTTTCATGTGAGTTCAGTGAAAGAGATGGGTTACTCCATTAGGTAAAATTTTAATATATGCACTATTTGTCTCTGTGTAAGAGTATGGAATTTGATATGCACATGTGTGAATGAACAGAAGATGAACCTTCATCTTGCTTTAACTGTTTGTAAGGCAAGATTTGGAAAACCTGATAGAGAACTAGCAGGGATGGGTACAGTAATTAATTTAAAATGTGTTTCTTAGGGTATCAATAATCCCTTTTATTATCCTGAGGCATTATACACTCATACAGGGAGGGTAATCTCTCTCTGGGTCAGCATGTGGAAGGAATATAAATTTAAACACATTTTCTTCATATGCTGCTGAATGAAATCTGATCATCATTGTGGTAAAAGGAAAATGACCCATGATTTGTGCATCTCCTATGCAAAAATTACTCTAAATATGTTATTTATTATTTTATGACATGATACTACTTTGCCATAAATCCAGCAAGTGGATGGCTTTAAGGTAATTCTTATAAAATGCATGCTGCATTTCATGCAGTATTGTTGCAAATGAGTGGTTAGGCTGCTTAAAGCATCGCCATCAGGGGTATTGGTAAAAAGCAGGTATGAGCTTAAAATGAACTTATGAAAGTGTGACTTCAACAGAGGTCAGCGGCAAGGTTCACTCTCTTAAATTACATTAGTATCAATTTAGAATGGATTACATGGAGACTGAGGATGAAAAAGGGTAAAGGTGCAAACGGTATGGACACAAAAAATAAGGTGTGCAAAAAGGTTTAGCAGAAATTCATCACTGAGTAATTTAACATTTATGAAGTGATTCAATGGGATTTTTAATAAATATAACAGTGACTTAATTACAGTTTCATGATAACAACATTGACACCATAATAAATTCACATGCACACAGAAATATGCATGTCTGCCTGTGAGAATAAAGGTGCTTATCAAAAATTCCCCTTTGCTTCAGGGGAATACTCATGACAAATGCCTGAGTGTTTCTCACCAGGCAGGGGCTGCACCTCAAGGAGTCTGTGTGAGGTGTGTGTATCAGCCCGGGCCTCGCCGTGATGGTCCTTTGAGTATCGCAGAGTTGAGGGCTCTCGAGCTCTGAGAGGTGCCCCAGAGAGAGGGAGGTGCTGGCACAGCCCACTGTGGCCCAGAAGAGCTCAGAAGGACTCACCTAGGACTGTCGAGTGCAGGGTCACAAGGTGATTTGCTTTAGTCATCAGCTGGTTTCCATCCTGGCCATAACCCACGCTGGCAACTGCTGGAGTTTCCAAAACATTTGGAAATTGTTTCCAAAACTTTGGCAACAATGGTGCTGTTCTACTTGGGCTCCAGCTCAGGTAGGGAATGTTCCAAGGCTGTCAGGGGATGACTGATCACCCTTTGTTCCCCACCTCAGCCCCGCAGTGGATGTTGCTGTTACAGTGCTTTCCCACCTGTTCCATGGGAAAGCACCTGCTCTGGTCAGGGACATGTCCCCACCTGGCTGGTTTGGCCAAGGCCAGGAGGTGATGCACCACCACCAGAGCCATGGTTACAGACCATGGAAAGTACACATTTTTGGCTGACACCTTAAAGAGCAAAGCTGAATAATCTGATTGTACAAAAGCCACAAACATATTCTTGGTGTAACTTATTCCAGCAAACCCTGAGTTTCAGTGCTGTGAGCATAATCTCTTAGCACTATTAGTGTTACAACAGTGCCTCTCAAAATGATATTTTGCTCATAATAAAACTGTATTTATGTGCTGAGGTGATATCTACATTGCATGGATGGTGAGGCTTCATCTAATCAGCCAATAAATTTAAAAGCACTGACTATGTCTTTGCGCCCTGCTTACGTGTCTTATTTTTCCCTATTATTTGGAAAATTTGTTAATGTGAAATCTTGATTAGAAGATGCTGCCTTTTACAATTTTTTTTCATAGTATTTTATATATTTTATAGCTTTCCATTTGGATAATACATTTGTTAAGGTTTTTACAGGACCAATTCATTAATGAAAATCAGGAGCATGTAATAAACACAAGTAATTTATCCATTTAACTTGTAGAGATATACCTAAAAGTGTCATAGCTATTTTTATGAGTGATCAGTTGGCTTACTGGACTATTAAAAATGGTTCTTCATAATTTTTTTCATTATTTAAAAACCTTTTCATAAATTATTCTTAATATAAAATGTGAATAATCTCTCTTTCGTGGCGTTTCCATGGAGACTATACTTACATATAGGAATATTGTCATCTTGTAGAGATGACTGGTGTTAAGTACTGCAGCCAAGGCATAATCAAAATACAGATTATGAGCAATAATAAAGAACAGCAGTGATATGAAGAAATATTTCCACCTTGGTGTGCTGATGATATCATAAATGAAGTCATTCAAATGCTTTGAAAGAAATCTATTCCCTTATCCCTTGTATTTTTAATGCATTTGAAACAAGTTCTTTGCCTTTCTCTTCTCTTTTGAAATCAAACCCCTTTGAACATATTCCAAGGAAAAACTTTCCCGATTTTTTTAAGGTTCTGAATTGCTCTGTAAATTGTGTGAAAATAAATGACCAAAAAAAAAGAGTACTCTGTACAACTTGAAAGAATGATAAAAAAAGGGAAATTTTGCTATATAAATATTTTAAAATATTTCTGGTGTCTGTTCAGACTTATAAATTGCCTTAAGAAGGCCCAGTATCTCAGTCAAAAGCACCAGAGCTAGACTTAAACAATAATTTTCTTCTGTGGTTGTAGTTTCATGTGAAAATTATATTAATTAGATATAAGGTAGTTTGCACATGTATCTAGAGTGAAAGGCAACTTTGGCATGTCTCTGGACACGTTATTCACTTCAAATTCTCAAAATCCAAAGGCTGGTACATTTGCTACATTTTTTTTTCTTTGTCCACTCCAAAACACCTCCCACTCAAAAAACCAATTGCTTTGCCTCAGGCAGCCTTTGGGCTGGCAAAGCAAGAATAAGAATGTTTAATAAAGTGTGATAGGAGAGTTGCAAGCACAGCAAGCCAGTGAAATGAATTCTTTATAGCATGTGAGATCATGGTTAAATATGTAGGAAGGAACTTTGCATATGGAGAACAAATCTTGTACACTGGCCCTGAGCCTGTGGTGTTTCTGTGTTTATACAAAGGTTATGTAATTTAATGAATTTTGTTTTCCCTGTACATAGTTTGTCACATTTCAATTGAGCTACACAGGGCAGCATCAGCTGGTGTTTTGCAAATGGAAAAGGAAAAGTGAAGGTGAAGAAGAAAAACAGTGAGGGAATAATGCATGTGGGATCCAACTTTATGAGGGAAAAGTGTCATCAAGTTTTACTCAGCATCTGAAAACAGAAGAACATACTTGCATTTTCTCCTTATTTGTGTACACATATATTTCTCTTTCCATATGTTTCTGAGAAAATACAACACTACAAAATGAGCTGTAATGTAAGAAACTTGCTTTGCAAAACGGGGTCTTTTGTGGTTGTGTTGCAAAATCCTTGTGTGGTTTTGCTGCAAATCTGAAAAAAATCCCAAACCTTCACATCCTGCTATCAGTCCTTTCTTTTCACCCTTTTCTTCCCCAGCTACCTCTACAGTTTCCTGTATTTGCCTGTATGTTTTCCCTCCAGTGTCACATATCTAAAAACATCAGAATGAAATATTTTTGAAAATTAAATTAATTTGTCCACTCTTAAAATGGATTGTGTTAAATAATGTGTTCCTTTAATTCCTTTGTTTGCTTCAGCCTCTGTACACATTTTAGAGCTAATCTTTTGAGGTTTCACATAGACATTAAAAAAAACAACTCAGAGCATTTCATTAAGACATCCAAATACATACCCTTTCTAGAATATAAACCATTACAATGTTCAATATCACCTCAAAACTGATGGTTTCCCATGAGAAAAGGAACATTCAGTGTCTGTATATATATGTGCAAAGCTCAAATATTTTTTGCCTCACGTAGGTCCAAATTTGCATTGATTACAAAAAAGTCCACTGATTGCTCATAATATTGTTACATAGGTTCTACTAAGAATATTTACACAAAACTAGCAATGAAACTAAAAACTGAAGAGGCAAACAGCTCAATTAATATATTATTGCTGATTTTTAAAATATTTTAAATTATAGAATGAAAAAGATTAAAAAACTATTTTAAATTATAGAATGACAAATGTTGTTATGTACACTGCAATATCAAGCTAAATTCAGATGCATAATTTCCAAATTATTTCTGTATGTGCATAATCTAAATATGTGAAATGCTGAACTTATAATTACATTTTTGATTGAAACATTTGTAAACACTTCTTTTGAATCAGGTGCCAATGCTGTTGCAAGCTTGAGCTTTATGCACCCAGATTTAGGATTTATAGTTTGAACTTGGATGAGTACAGTAACTGGTCAGAACACAATGTAAAATGTACAGTTTAAAGAGATGTCTGTTGTGTGTGTTAATTACATTCCTGTTAAGAACCACATGCTCCTGTGAAAGGTCTCACTGGTTGTACCATGAATTGAGTGGTTTTAAGCTTTCAGAAAATGGTTACCCATTAACAACTAGTCAGTGGAAGCACCTCAGTCTAATGCAGTAATTAATTTAATACTAATATATTACTGCCAGAATTGTTTTGGTGTGCTACAGACACTTTGGGGAAAGGGCTGTTTGGGCTACTGAATTCAAATGAGCTACAAAGCGTTGGCAGTTCCATTATTTTTCATTTATTGTCTGATGTAGACTGCATACAGAAGAGTATGATTGAAAGAAACACCAAAGGATGTACTAGGCAATTCATATAAAGATTTTTTGAAACAAAGTCTGAAAAACCTATGGCAAAGGTTTACAAGATCTGGCCATGTATTTTTAAAATTAAATGGAAATGTCTTTTTTACTTAATTTGAAAGACAAAAATTCTTGAAGCCTGTGTACATTTCTTCACTCAAATTTTATTTCTTCACTCAGTCTTTTGTCTCACTTTGTCTAGCAAAAATAGATTTGTTGCCATGAACACAGATAGCTAATGCTGACACTTTAATAGCCAGCATTCATTTCAGAACAAATCCCATCTCTCTGGCTTCACCAAGTAGGAATCAATCCATTTCTTCCCTTTTCTTGCCACTTCACCTTAAACCTAGCTCAGTCTTTGGTGAGTTTGTGGGCACAGTTTTCCAGATTGCCTCCTTTTGTCTTAATTAATCATAGCTTCTGTTTGGGCACTGAGTCAAGTCTTCTGCCCACTTGAAAATGCATTCTTGGAAAATTATGGGTACAGATCCAGTCCCAAGCCACTCAAGATACAATCCACATATTTTCTGATTACAATGGGACAATATGTGGCTAAAAACTGTGGTTTAATTGCTATTCTTCAGATTTAAGACATATCTAGATCATATTACTTAACAACTTGACTTTAAAGTATTTTCCTGGTTTCTGAGAAATGTTTGTGCTGGGTTATATTGTGCATCCTTAATCAAAACTCCAAGGGCTACATTGGCTCTTTTTGGAAAGTTACTTTTCTGAAACCATATTTAGGTTGGGTTTTTTTCCCTTTCTAGATTATGAAAATATCCTCAGAGAGAAAAATCAGGAAGTGATTTTAATTCATACATTCTTCAAGATGAGCACCATTTCTTTAATGAGTGACAGAATCAGAACAGTAGAAATAAATTCTATCATAATATTGACTACCTTTCTGCTAAAACAGGTTCTTTCCTAAGATATTTTTTCTAGTACTGTGTCCAATATAAATTTATGAATTTAACCTCCAAACTGTCAAAACTTGTTGGCATTATACATGCATTTGAGAATAAGTTCTCTGGAGCAGAAAATTATTAATCTTTATTTTGATAAAACTAAAGTGTCACTTTTGATTTATTTTAGTGGTCTTAGTCACTGCCAGAGAAAACAGCTACTTTTTAATATTGCTATTATTATTTCAAGCTTCACTTGCTTTATTTTATTATCCGTTATGTTGGGGTTTAAAAAAAAGTTATTTGTGATAATGTCTAAATCTACATCCTAATCTTAACTTCTGTTCTCTCCATGGTTTATATTTCAGTATGCACAATAGTTCCCAGAATTTAAACGCAGAACTCAAGGGACCGAGCCTATCTTGTTTTTTCCCTTACAGCTTTAGTAATCATGTGCATTGTATCCATTTTTATGGCTTGCTGTTCTTTCAGGCAATATTGCTTTTCTTCATGAGGCCCAAAAACAAGTTGTGATGAGATCTCATGATTTCTTTATTTATCAGGATAGATGGTCTCTAACTTTCTTCACCCCTTCTGTTTCAGCAAACTTGTAATTTTTTTTTCATTACTTTCTGTTAATGTACTACCATAATGATTTATGCCTTATTTCCTGAACCCACAAATTCAGCATAGAGCAAAAATTACAGGTCACTGTGTCATCTGTGCTGGTGCAAAGGCAGCTCCATTCTTGAGTCTGTTACTTACAACATGGTATCCATCATCAAAGACCTCTGTTTCTCATCACCACTGGTCATTCTATTCCTGTTCTGTATTTCTATTCTGCATGTTCCTTATAATTCAGCACCATATTTCTTTTGCTCATCACAGATCCAATCACATTTTTCTAACCTGTTTTACAGCTTATTCCAGCACATATTAACTGCTGAAAAACTGAGCTCCATAGCTCTGGCCTGGTGTCCTCTTTTCCTCTCAACTCTGCAGTGAGTAGAAAAGGAGCAAACAGGGCTAAGCAAACTTCAGTTATTTAAATAACCAGTAGCATATGTGTGCAAGCTTGGCACACATAGTGTGTGCAGCACCTGGACCTGACCAAAGCATGCTCCATGGAGCACTGTGTAAGGGGCAAGAACAACCAAAGGGGGGCTGAGGATGCCCTGCTGAAATTACTCTGGGAAAATGTTACTCTGGAAAAATGACCCACAGATTGCAGAGGATGCCCTGAAGAGGATGCTTATCTTGAAGATTCCTGTTGCATCTCTGCCCATCCAGCCACTACTGCATTTTTCTTTCCCTTTTCTTTTTTCCCTCTTCTTCTCTTTTCTCCTCTTTTCTGTCTTTTAATTATTTTTTTTTTCTCAGAAATAACTTTTACTACTAGCATTGGTAGATGTTATATACTATGGCCACAACAAATAAACCTTTGTGCAAGAAACTTTTCTCAACATTTTTATGCGATACTCATTTATTTCACTGAACTTAATGAGACTGAAAAAGAAAAGGAAACATATCACATTTGTTGGAATTTTATAGCTTGCTTCTACCAATAGAAATTTGTAAATTAATATATACAAATATTCACTGTATTTTTGTTTTTAGCTCTCAAAACTCCATAAGTGGTAAACTGATGATTTTCTTCCTTGTAAACTTGTCCAGTGACTCAGCTCCTGCAGCACTGATTCAGCTCTCACTCATTTTTTGTCTGAAGTTGATGGCATGTGATCCAGAATATATTTTTTGATCTGTGATTGTTATTTGCTGTTCACTGTAGATTTATGCCTATGTGTTTGAGAATATCAGATCAGTTCAGTTGGAGGCATTACTTCTCTCCTTGCTGAGCATTGTGGTACTTGTCCTTGTTAAAGAACTGAATGAGAAATTTCACAGAAACATTAAAGTTGTCCTGCCCATCGATCTACTTTTGGTAAGTACAAAATTATATATCAGGCTTTTTTTACTAAGCTTTCAGCGGCTCAATCTGCTGAAGTTTACTGTGCTGTCTATAGTTACCCACACCCACACCTGCCACTTATACAGACAGCTGATTTTCATGGCTGTAAGTTAAATGTAAAAACAGGAAACAGTTTGGCCTAATAAATAAGAAAGACATTACATAAGCTCACAATTTGTATAATATTTTTCTTATGTTTACTACTTTTTACATAATCACAAGAACATAAAGCCTAGAATGTTAAAGTGTAAGCAGTTTCAAATAGAAAATAAAAAGTAACTGGCATATTGTAACTGCAAGCAAGTCTTATGCTGGGTAGTTGTGCCTTAGATGTTGCTTGTGATTTACCTACAACAAAGTTAAATAGCTATGCTATTGCTTTCTGTCATTTTACTAACATGTTTTCTTTTAACATGGTATAGACTAAATCAAAATTAGCAATTTCATTATAAACTCCTGCTTTAAGAATTAAGCTGTAGTCAAATGACCAGCACCAGATCACATTTAGAAAGTTTCTGTTTTTCTCTAAAAGAAAATACAAAATATGAAGGACAGTTGGTTTTCAGAGTGCATTACTGCAATTACTTTTTTGTTGCTGGAAAAAAAAAAATTACAAAGGGCAAAATGCTGGAAAAGGAGGTAGTGTGGTCCTGGTCTCAGTGTTACCTTTTTTAAAATATTGGATAAAACCTAGCAGCAAACTAAGGATTGCAGACTGGAACCCTGCTCTATTTGGATTAATCTCATTTAAAATACAGGAAATGAATTTGAATCTCCTTAGAGTCAAACTTTATACTCCCTCTGCAAGATTTGTGCCTGCTAGAATATGAAAACAAGAGGCAGACACATCTTCTGCTGTGTTCTGTGCTGAAGTCAACACTGCCAGCCTGGATTAGATGTGCTGAGAACATCAGCTGAATCAGATTGCTCAGGAACACCTAAATAATGAACTACTTTAAGCTGCTTAGATGAATGGCAGTGCTCTGGGGCAGGTGCTGAACAGAGGGACTTTGGACACAGATTGCAAAGGTTCCTGAGGCTTTACAGAGAGCCATGCAAATCTCTTTCATTAACACAGAATGTACAAACTGCACTATAGTCTCACATCATTATTGTGTCCAAATCTTAGTTTCTTTTGATTCTCTTGCACATTTGCAAAAAAAAAAAAAAAAATCATAATACTTACCTGTTTTACTGGATTGATCTAAGGATAAATGCATGAACAGTGCCATGTGCTTAGGTACGGCAATAATAGGGACCATGTCAGAAGCAACAAAAATGTAATATCTTTTTCTGTTTGAATCCATAGATAATTGCTACATCCATTGCTTGCTACTATGCTGACATGGAATACGTCTACGGGATAGAAGTTGTGGGAAATATTCCTAAAGGGTAATGTGGGTTCATTAGCTTGTGGCTTTTAAATACTTTTATTTCAGAGAACAGTCTCTGAAAAGACCAAAGTAGTTTCTGAAATAAGAAACAGTAAAAATCTATTTTGTTTTTTTCCTGTCTCCTCAAACACTCTCTCACAATTCAATCCCATGTTAACAAGTTATATGTGCATAGATATCATCACAGTAGTTTCATTGCAATCCCCATTAGATGGAATAAATGTCTGTACTGTCAGTAATCGACAGGAATAAAAAAATTTTTAAAGATTTAAATTTAACTTTACAAGAAAGTAAATTACATTAAAAAAGGAGAAAATATATAGTAGTCTTTTCTACTGAACATTACAAAACCGGTGAATGGTTGCTAATTTTATTTGTCAGTCGTGGTGTTAATTTATCAACATCTCTTTATAATTTCTCAAATGGAAATTTTCAAATTGAATACTCCATCTGAAGCTTTTTCATCTTCTACAAATTCTCTTTTGCTGTTTCCAACAGACTGAGATCTTATTAATCTAAAATATTGAAAAATGTCACCTTACATGTAATACAAAAATTAGCTCTTCCTGCAGAGACTGTTTCTGTGGTATTCACATAAATTGCAGGTATATAGAGACTGCATATATACTTGTATATAGATACATATAGATATGTATCAAGTTTTGCAAAAATTTTATACTGTCTTTAAATAAAAATTTAAAATTTTAAAATTTTATACTGTCTTTATACTGTCTTTAAAAATACTGTCTATTTTTATAGGTTGCCATCACCAAAAGCACCACCCATGAGTGTCCTGCCTGAAGTAGTCACTGAAGCTTTTGGAGTGGCACTGGTTGGTTATGTAGCCTCACTAGCTCTTGCTCAGGGCTCTGCTAAAAAGTTTAAATACACTGTGGATGACAACCAGGTAAAGCTCTTTCTCCTTAGTGTCACTGAGCCTTGAAATCACTTCGCCATTTGGGGAAAGTATTATAGATGAATGCCCAGTAGGAAAAGTTAGGTTCCATATAGCATCCTGATACCTTCTAGTGTTTACAGTAACACCCAAATTTTGTTTAAATTATCTCTGCAGAATGCCCTCATTGGTTGAACTGCTCCTTTTGGGGAAGCTCACCCTTCAGGATAACCTTGTAATGCTACATTCAATGCAGCATTTCGGTATTAATGCATTTTTCACTGCTTTAAGATGAGACAGCTTCTCCTCTGGCAGTTGAGCTCTTATAGACAAGCTATGATGTTAAATCAGCCACCATTAATGAAACAAAGCAATTCTAAACCAAAACCAGGTACTTATAGCCCCAGGACTTACCTCTGATGTTATAATAAGAAATTATTTATATTTATGCAAAGTAGAAGTCTCACCTGAAATAAAGGTTTATTTGTATCTAAGAAGTTCAGAGAGTGCTGCCAGATTTACAGCCACGGGAGTTTTTGTTCCAAGTTCCATTTGCAGAGGACATGCTTAAATAAAAGTGGGCTGTCTCTACACTACTACAGTGCTTGTCATGGTGGGTGGGTAACTCCAAGCCTGCTGGAAATCCATGGAGGTGCTAATTCAAGCACTGTGGGAAGAAAAGCTCAATTTCAGATAACTGGCACTAGTACTGTGTGAAAATTTTGCCTCCACCTTTATGTTAAGTGCTTTGGGATAAATGACAGAGGGTTGAATGAAGAACAGTTGTTTTGCAGCTACATCAGGTAGGTAGCAGGAGGTCTATTTGAACACCCTGTCTACTCAGGCTGGTTTTGCTACATCAGGTCCTGTCCTTTACAACTCGTATGCCATAGGAAAACACAGTGAGAACACTCTTGTCTGTTGAGGTCTCTAAAATATTTCTCAGTTTGAATACATTGGGCCACGAATTTCCATTGATGCTTCAGAGCCATGTTTCTATGGAGCAGAGGGAGAATGCTTTGAGCTTAGTGCAGGTCAGACTCCAGGGTGACACACTGCTTTGTTTCAAGGCACTCCATGGCAACCTGTGTGTCTTTCTGTACCTTTGGAAGTCTTGTAGCTTACACAGGTTCATTACTGGAGTCTTGGAAACTGTGTACATCTGCATCAAATAATGGAGCAAAAGAGCAGAACCTCCGTGAGAGGAGGGCAGTGAGGTGGTGTGGCTGTGCTGCCTTCAGGGCCAGGCATAGTGCTGGGCAGGGGCTTGTTGCTGTGTGAGGCTGCTGGGTGAGCTTTAAGGGGGTGCTGTTCTGTGCTGCGAACAAAAACTCATGAGCTGGTGTTTTCCTGGCTGGATACAGAAACATTTTCCTACACATTTTCCTCAGCAGACCAACTTGCTCCTTAAGGTCTGTGATGCTGGGTGGCCATGGTGGAACACTTCCTTAGAAAACACTGCTCTTCTTAGGCTGCACATACAAGGTGGCTTCTCCACTTTTTCTTCTACGAATCCTTTGTGAAGACATGTCTGCATTTTGACTGTGAACAAACACCAAATACATTTGTGATGAAGGACAGCATGCTACAGCCATATAGTATAGCTACTATATTTCAGTTTCACTAAAACATGCTCTAAAGGAAAAGAGATCAGTGGCTGTCTTTTTCCAGTGAGCCACACACCAGAAATGATCTGGACAGTTTCCAGACACCAGTACTTGGGGCTCTGGCCAGTAAAAAGAAGACATGGATCAAGGTGTAAATATTTTGGTTGAACTTAATCTTCAAAACTTAGCCATAGCATTTATTCTGGGAAGAAAATGTCCCTCCTGCCTTTCATGAATCTGGTTCAACAGCTCTACCATTCAAATTAGTTCTGAGACAGGAGAAGATCTATTCTGTTGGGAAACCCTTTGTCATGTACCTGTGGGATTTTTTCCCTTAAAACTGTGTCCATCATTTATCATTGCTGATATTTACATAGGGGACTCCTTTGTTGGCAAGAGGCATTGAAATGACAGCACAGTGGGAAAAAACATCTTCTATTTAACGACTTTGCAGGAATTTTTGGCTCATGGCCTCAGCAACGTGATTCCTTCATTTTTCTTTTGCATACCAAGTGCTGCAGCGATGGGACGGACGGCACTTTTATACAGCACAGGCGCCAAAACACAGGTAAGGTGTTTCTAAAACACAGGCTGTAAAAAACACAGGCTTAGAGTGAAGTACATTGGAGAATTAGAGCTGTGATACTATTCACTGCAATTATCCACTGTTTTCCCCTAGCCTCCCTCTTCCTCTGTCCTGGCAATGCCACTGCTCTGTCATTTTTAACAAGCTGCATGAAATTGCATCTGATCAGTGATGTCTTCCTAGGAAAGATAACGGTTCAATTTATTTTTACCTGTTTCATTCAATATGAACTGTAGGGTCTGTGGCAGCAATGAAGTTAGGAGTTGTGTTTTCAGGCTGCAGGAAACTCCATAAAAGTCCTTTCAGTTTATGTGAATTTGTCAGCATTGTAACAAAAGTGCCCTCTAATGGTGCTTAATGGATTTAATGGTACAATCTAAACCGAAGCTTGAGGAAAAAAAAAATCACATTTCATTTATCTGATTTAATTTATCTTCTATCTGATTTCCAAAATAAAATGAAAGTAACCTTTAGAGCTGTTTGTTAAAAAAACACAAGTAATCTCCCAGCTTCTACCTTGTGACATGGTGTGCTTGTCCTATCCCTCAGTGTACACTGAGCCCACAGAAATGACATTTAGATTTTTGAGGATGTTTGTTGCTGTTTCCTGCTGAAGAATCTAAACCCACAAGCTGTTATTAGAGTGGCTCAGGAAAGAGGGGGCTGTAATCGCTGAGAATGACAACTGTGACCCTGTCAGCCTGTCATCTGTCCAAACTGGGCTTGTGAGCATGAGAGGTGACAAACCACCTGGGGCACCCCCAGAGCATTGCCTCTTCCTCTGAAACTCAGGGCCCCTTCAGTGGCAGCCTGCCCGATCAACGTCATGTCCTTTGGAGGTCATTGCTATTCTCCCAGGTAACAAGTGACAGGACAAGAGGAAACACCAACAGGCTGATCTAGGGAAGGTTTAGACTAGATATCAGGATTTTTTTTTCACAGAAAGGGTTGTAAAGCACTGCCCAGAGTAACGTCAGAGTCACCATCCCGGGAAGTTTTCAAACATTGTGTGAATATGGCACTTGAGGACATGGTTTAATGAGGAACATGGTGGTGGTGGTGCTGGGTTGATGGTTTAACTTGATGACCTTAAAGGTCTCTTTTAATCTCAACAGTTCTATGATTCAATGATTCTAATTTCATTTTATAGGTGTTTCTCTTGCCTTGTCTTGTATAAAGGACATTAGCTGCAAGGAAAAAGTTCATGAGGTACAAGACTAAACACAATCCATAGGTAGTTTCTCCTCAACCATGCCTTGCAATTATTTCTCATGCAGATGCCACAATATTAAGGAATTATACAGGGCTTTACTCCAATAATCTACATGTTAAATAATTACTAATTAGCCTACAGAGTACTCTGAACTCACTTAATCATAATGAATAATCAAATAATAATCTTGAAAAGTATTTATATGCAAATATTTTAGCTACCACTTGGCTATTAGTTATTTCATGTATTTTAGTTGAATTTTATATCATACAATGAGCTGTCATCCTCACAGACATTCTTTTCTGTAGTCGGTTAATGTACTGATTGTACAATTTGCAGTTGGACTGCATCATGCAGTTTTCCATGGAAGATTTGAGGTAACCTGCAGACCTATAACCTTGAGGCATATGGGGTACTTGAGCACTTTGGTTCTGGTACAGGTAGGGAAAGACCCTGGTAAAAGGTTACTCAATACACAAAATTAAAAAAAACCACCAAACCTATAATTTTATTTCAAGACAGCAAACACACAATAAAAATCTGCTTGGTTTATCCACCAGTTTCACAGTATAGCAGTGCCTGTGTCTAAAAGTTAAGAGTGTGGCTATGAGTTAGCACTATGAGAGCATATTATCAGGCATAACAATCTCTCCCCTGCCTTCTTGGAAAGCAACACATCAGCTTAATGCTCTCCTTTGTGGCTGTCCAGACAGAATGAGGAGATGACAAGATCATCACTTATCAATATTGGTCAGGTTATAGGCAAAAAGAATCCTTTCCTTAACTTTGAGGGAAGTCAGTTTGGCATAGCACATGGAAGAAATGCAAAAAGCCTTTCAGGGGCACAGAGCAGCCCTTTTTTCTCAAATGGCTATACCTGGATTGCAGTTTTGTCATTTGTTCCTCAGTGATATATTTTCCTGGGAGAAAAGAGAAGTGAGGAACTCTGTCATGGACCATTCTTCAAATAGAATCAACACTTTTTTTCTTGCTCTTTATGAAGGCAGTAAGAGGGAAAAGTTCCTTGTGACTTTACCAGCAGATTTTCTGTCCCTTTTTATGTAAACACTCTGTCTATCCTTCTTGATGGTATTTTTAAGTACACCATGACTTTAATTTTCTAGTGTTTTAACAACTTGTCTGGTTTTGTTTTTAACAACTTGTCTCTTAAAATGAAACCTAATTATTTTAGTAAAGAAACATATTATCAATATAAAAATAAAGTGAGCATCTGTCTACTTATCGTCAAAAACCTTCTGTGAATCTGAACTGTATATTTATAAGACCAGAAGTACTCAGTGAGCACTCACAGCGGAATAGGACAGTGCAATTTTACTGTCATTTTCATCAGATTAATACCATATATACTGTGAGGACATGTATAATTATTAGACCATATATTTTTTTAAATTTATATTACTTTGATTAGTTATAATCTTTAATATCTATTTTCAATGGCACCTACATTTTCTTAAGTAAATACACTGATATTAAAATAAAATTGTTAGTGGTTTCTCATTTAAAAATAGTTTTCTTTTAGTGTTAATCCCAACAAAAGAAGTTAGAAGTCTTCTCTTGTAGAAAAAATGATAGCATACATAATTCTTGCTTAGTGCTATGACAGATCTGTTATTTAGTAAAACATAGGGTGCAAGGCTATAAATAAGTTGCAGAATGACAGTGGGTGCTGAGAAACTTCTGGGATGAGATATTACACCACACGTTCCATTTAATACCCAAATGTGTAAGTGATGCTCTGGTCTGTGTCAGTGTGCTGGCAGCAGGGTCAAGCACAGATGTTGAGATCTCTCACTATGTTATCGCTGTAGTTGATTAAAGGTAATAATCAGAGATTAAAATTGAAATTATATGCACCTGCAATCCACAGATTCATTAATAGCTAACATCTTCAACATCTGATTCTTGACTTTGTCTACAATACTTTAAAATTAATCTTTTTCACAATTTCTGTTGTTGTTTTTGTTGTTGTTAGACTGAATGATCTGCAACTCTTGTTTATTGTTTTAGGTGGCTTGCCTTATCTCTTGTGTATTAATTCTTGGGGTGATCTACACAATTGGACCTCTGCTGTACTGGCTTCCTATGGTATGGTACTTAACCTTTTTAAAGATTAAGATGTCAAACATTTTCTAATGATAGTTTCTTGCAGGATAAGACAGTGCAACATTTAAAACAGCTCTATTTAATTTCAGTGGCCAAAAGAATAGTAAGGACATGATAAATCTGAAAATCATGAAGTACAGAGGTGACAGCATAAGACATATAGATTTTAAACATATATAGTTACACATATAGGCTATCAAGTAAGCATATAGAAGTAAAACTAAAGTAAACTACTTACTTTTGGCATGTAGTTTATGAAAAATATACACCTGGGTTGCTGTGGATTTGTAAACTGGAAAAGTGTGGTAGATTCATTATATTTCTCCAGATATGAATATGATATACAATTTTGCTTTTCAAATAAATTTGACAAAAATTATTTTAGATAGTGATATAAGCTTAATTACAAAAAGATTATAAAGTATTCTTATACCTCTGTCATGGAATATATCTATGCTAAGACTCTTTAAAGCAGTGTGGTATCTTTTCACATAAGCTATATCTAGCTTTTGGTATTACAAATTAATAGTTAATTTTAACTACAGGCATGTCAAAGCTGCTAAATACAGTGCCAAAATTATCCACAATTCTGCCATGTATGTACACGAAGTTTTAACTCAACTATTTTTTAAAATTGTTTTGTGCTATTGTCTACATGGTGTCATGAAAGTTCTCACTTTTCAAACACAGATCCTTTTATAGCTTATTTTAACCATGCAAAGTAAGGACACTTGAAGAAGGGTGCACAATATGTCCTGGGTTTTTTGCCATACTTCTTCCCTACTTTAATTTGTTTTCATATGGATTATATGTACATTTTGACCAGTTTCCTGTAGGCTTTTCTGCCCATATTTTAAAAATACTTTTTGGTTTTTGCTTTCTTGATAATTTATTTCTCTTCTAATATGCTTTTTCAGCCCCGTCTATGCACTGTAAGTCCATCAGTTTGTACTCCACTCTTTTTGGCTCTAGATGATTTCTTCATCCATCTCCTCATTCTTCCTAAGTCAAAGAACAACAAAAAAATTTTTTTTGCTTCAAAATTAATGGACCTTTGCCCTAGAGGCCTTCTCTAGGGGAAGGAAAGGAAGTGAGTGAGTTGTAATTCTTCACTGCACAGAAGTTGAGTGATGACTTGCTTTTGAGTCCTTCAGACTGTGGCAGGATGTATTTGGTCTGGTGATGCATGGAAGAGTCTTGAGTAGTCCTGAGGTTTCTGTCATTTTTCTCTCAATTAGGTAGCCTGTAGATTGCCTTCACATTAAAAAAAGGGGACAGGGTGGTTGTTGCTGTTGGCAGCCATCACAAGGACACCTGTGCTTATCCCATTTTCTAAACACCTACCAGTTCTTTTTATAATTTAATTATGATATTGACTGCTAAATTAAAGAAACAGCATTTGTTTTCACTAACAACTCTGCAAATGGCTTTTGTGTTTATGTCTTTGCAGTGTGTGTTAGCAAGCATTATTGTTGTGGGCTTGAAGGGGATGCTAATGCAGTTCCGGGACTTAAAAAAATATTGGAATGTGGATAAAATAGACTGGGTAAGTAAAACTTAATCTAAGGAGGTTTTCCTGAGACCATTTGGCAAACATCTGTTAACTAAACCATTCTGTGGTCCTAGAAGAAATAAGTGCAAGATATTATTAGTCGTACTTTTTTGTGCTCTATCAGCTCAGAATAACAGCATCTGTAATATCAGTTGTATTAAAAAATAACAATTTAACAAATGATAAAGAATCAAACCTGATGCTAGAGATGTGCATAGAGATCAAGTTAATATGAGCAAGTATGTGTCTAATTTTTATGTCTTTTCTATCTGTTTAACATGCTTTTGCTATTGTAGCATTATGGAAGAGATTTTGGTATCATTGTCCTCTGGGAAGAGGGAATGAATACACAGGTCAAACAGGACTGGAAACATTAGTGATGCAGAAAGATAAATATTGAGGGGTGCTGTAGGTAAATTGCCTTAACTCTTTCAGATTTTGCAGAAATCTATTCTATCTACTGTTTGAACACAGTGAAAGATTCTGCACTATGAGAGAAGGAATACATCAGAAAAAGTAGATAGGTGAAAAGAGACATAGTATGAAAATCTAGTTTAATGCAAAATCGAAATAGTCTGAGAGAATTTGCACAGAATTCCAAGCAAATAGTAAAGATGAATCCATGTGTAAAAAGACTCCTGGATTTTTCTTCTGTGGGAGATTTTGGGTGTAATGGCCAATCAATGGAACCAAAATTTCTAAGCACTTACATAAATACATACATGCTGATGTATGCTTGTGTTAACAATTTTCAGAAATGTATTTTGGCCAAATAGTCCTTTTCTGTGGTGGGAAATACAGGTGACTGGAGTTAATATTTGACTTTGAATCCACCAGTTACTTAGTATTCTATAGCAGTAATGGTTAAGACTAGAAAGAATAAAACTTTTCTTTTTTTTATTAGAGTACAAGGTTTTAGTATGGGAAACAGAGCTGAGTAAACAACATCAAGTTTGACTGTGAGATTTTTTGCACTTGGTTGCAGAAAGCTAAAGGTTCAGAAAACTTATTTGGAGGGGTTTCTTTTGTATTAGCCAGAAGAAAAGCTCTGTCTTTCCTGAAATATTTTTTTCCTCCAGCAGTAAAATTATGAAAATATTTTGTATTTGATCTTCAGTTTAACCCCTATTGCCAATGACAGAAATTATGGATGATGTGGACCAAGAATTATTTTGGGAACAATGGACTTAAAAACACTGGTAGTTATGGGAGACAGATATATCTTCTTCATCCGTTTATTGAGATAATAAGTAGTGACATTTTCCAGCAGGATATTCTGGAATCTCACTAGATTTGACATGTCTTCACAGATAGACTAATCTGACTGATTTTTGCTTTTCTGATTTTGGCAGAAAAGGTTGTGTGAGCAGTTAGTTATTACATCTCTGACATCTGTCATCATTTCTAAGAGAGGTTATAGAACGGGGGAGTTTGCTGGGTTCATCTTTTTGACTAAACATACTTGAGCAATGATTTATCTTCAAGTAGTTTTACCATCAGTCCTTAGCTTGACAGGATAAATCATCTTGCCTTAAATAGCATAGTTTAAAGTAAGGCTATAAACATTGATCTTGCATTGCTGCCTGCTCTGAGGAGCCCCACCAAGGCCAGTGATTTGTGTAACTACACTGGTGTTATTTTGGCCTGAAAGGATTCACCCCAGTGACTGACAGAACACCAGAAATGAATCATTCCATCACCCCGGTTATCCAAAGTGTTTTGAAGATAGAAACCCTAGCAAAACATTTGGAAATAATTAGCAGTTGTCCTTTCTGGAACTGATTCTTTGAAGGGTGTGTGTCATGTAGCATTGAAGTCAGGTTTGTTCTGGTTATAGGTCTGACAAATGATTGTGCATGGAAATGGAATATTATGGAGTTTGTACCTTGTTCACTTGTACACTTCTTTAAGCATCTCATTAGACACAAATGGGATGAATAATATTTATTTGTTGATTAGTTCTCTATAAACATAATCCTTTTAAATATAGAAGGTATTATATCATTCAGCAGTTGGAGCTGAGGAAATTAATTGGTTCCTTGAATCACAGGATATTCTGTGTTTCTATGAAATCTCTTCTTTCAGCCATGGGTCACTTTTTCATTCAGATTTACATCCTGCCTCTCAAATCACATTCAATCACTTTTCAGCTACCACCCCATTGTCCTTATTCCAGAGGTTTCTTTCCTACCATTTGAACATCAAATGTCTCCTGCTTCAGTTAAGGTCTTCTGTCAGTCCCTACACCTTGGCTGGATGACTTCAACAATCTCAGATTAATAATTGCATTGCTCCACTATATATGTTATATGCATAACTGAGAGTAATTTTTCTTGATCTTTTTTTCTGCTTTTTTTGAGAACACCTGGGAAGCTAATATGGCCTTGTCTGTAAATACATCTCACTTCTCAAGTCCTCAGGTGAAAAGATGATTTCCTTGTCCTTCCTGCAAGCCTAATTTCTTATGCAGGCCAACCTGACTAACTTGCTGTTTTTATTCTCCAGCTTGACACTGCTGGTGATACTCTCCTAGTATTACTAAAAAGACCAGTGCAGTTCTTGTTAACTTTTGATTTTAAGGCTCAGGATCGCAGATAAGCTGCTTTTTAGGACAGGCAAAAATTACTGCCTGGCAATGGACTGCTGAAGAAAAATGTTGTCTTTGCTGCTAACAGTTTTACTTGAAAGTAACCAAAGATGGGGGGAAAATATTTTAGAAGGTGATGCTCTAAGTGAAAAATTATAATGGAATAAGGATCATTTTCATGAGTTAATTATATAGCTGGGATTTGAGAAGTTCAGCAATGAAATACTCTGGCATTTAAAGATAAAAAAACATTTTAAAGTTACGCATATGTCTTGACCAGAAAATGATCACAGCTGAGACAAAGCCAGGTTGCATGCCTGACTTTTAAAGCAGGAAGAATGGCCAGAATTTATGGTAAAAATTACACATTCCCAACATGGTGTTGTGATGAGATGTAGTTATGGATGCATGAATTGTAATAGTATGCACATATATTAATATTAAAGGATGTAAGGAATGCTATTAATTCAGCAATTAAAGTAGATTCAACAATGAGGGTCTCATTTTTGACAAGTATCCTCCAAGATCTTGCCATTGTGAATTACTGGGACACATATCCAATACCCTGTCGATCTATTTTGTCAAAATATTTAGAGGAGAGGCCCTAGAAAGGGTCCTCCTTGAAATTTGGAGCTCATTAGTGCATTTTCTTGTGGTTTTTTAGAACTTCTTCAGATACTGTCCTCAGGAGGAAGATGGCCTTTTAAATTTGTTCATCACACATGGGCCCTGATTCATGAAAGGGCTCTGAGAGGTCTCAGGGCTCTCCTATATAAACGGTTTTCTACAAAGTAGGAAACCATCTCTTCTGTGAGAATAATTTTACATCAATGACTCTATTTTATGGCATTCTGGGGAGATTTTCTATTTTTCTTCCATTAGTGAATATGCTAGTGTGAGTTATATCACCTGCGCTGTAGTTGGTATCAAAGAACTACCATACCACTTTAGTATCATTTAAGGTCATTTAGGTTGGGAAAGACCTTTAAAGACCATCTAATCCAACTGTTAACCCAACACTGCCAAGTCTACTTCTAAACCATGTCCCTGAGTGCATTAGGCAGTTCTTGCTCTATGGCTGTGGTGGGCATCACTTGAATGCCAAGTTTTGATGAAGGGTGTGCTGAGGATGAATGCACACATTGTCTGCAGAAGGATTTGGGAGCATGGCCACGCCACTCAGTCCTCTGAGCCAGAGCCTCCTCCAGGACTCCAGCATCTTCTGCTGAGAGAGTTTTGGAATGAGTAGGACTTTAATGGGATTCTTCTTTTGCCTATATACTGGAGGGCCTCTTTGAGCAGCTCATCACAGCCTCACATTATAGATAGCACAGAACTGGTCAGCTGAGACATGCTCATCTCTTCCTCCAATAAGCAACAGCACAATCAGGTAGGAGTTAGATGAACTGCATCCTCAATTTGATTCATTCTGATAACCAAACCCATTGATTATGGTAGGAAACTAGACAGCGGTGTTGCAGATAGTTACGTGTGAGAAGCCCTTTCCATTCAGGCAATAGCTGATCATCTCCTCTGTTTGCAATGAAACAAGGCAAGTGCATAATCTGGCTTCAAGCTGGTACAGAGACACTTATCACCATACCTTAGCATTGCATTGTCTAGTCATAGGTTCCGGAAGTATTCTGCAACTTGTTTACATCATTTTTTTCCTACCAAGTACCGATTTTAGACTGTCATCAATGGTGGATGATTAGACTCTATGAAATGCAAAGTCTAGAGGAGGCAGCTGCTACACAGTCACTGTACCTCTCAGTGCTTCTGATATTTTCTGATACATACAGAAGTTGACATAAATCTATTTCTTCTGCTTGTTTCTTTTCTCCCTCTTTAGAGTTTTTCTTTAAATTAGTACAGTACTTTGAAGGTGGATTTTGTTTTGATTTTTGATATTAACATGTGCCTATAACACATTATTGCTAAGATTTGAAGATTGATTAGATTCTATCTGTCCTGGAGTATGCAATAACCATATTGATGTAAGCTGCCAAGGAAAACATTGACATTTTTATCACTTCTATGTTGAACTTTGCAATAACCCACGAATTAGAAAAAAAAAAAGGTCTATCAGATCAACATAACTTCTTTCTACAAGTTTAATTAAAGAAGAACTGCTTCCAGGCCAATACAAAGCACTGAAAGGGTGGTTGATTAATGAGAGTATGATTGTTTTGGCTCAGCCTCTACAACAATGGCAGTCTCTGATTACAGTTAAGATGTAAGATACTAGGCTGCTGGAGAGGCACCTAACTACCTTTCTCAGTAGTCAGCAGTACTTAAATATTTCTGGCTTTGATTCTTCCTATGCAGACTTTGTATTGCGGTTTTTACGCTGTTTTTTTCTGAGACATAAGAATTTTGCAGGTCTGCAGCAGTGATTTAGTCAGATGTGATGAGGTTCAGGTCTGCAGCTGAGCTGGATTGCACTGGAGTGGATTCAGGTGTTGTCAAGGGTTCAGCCTTATTAAGATAGTCTAATTCTTGATCTCACTGATTTTCAGGTTTTTAGTAGTTCTGTTAGCATTTTCACATCCAGGTGAGCTTCTTTATAAATGTATATTGGATTTATAAATCTTAGCATTACTTTCTTATTCATTAATCAGACCTCAATATCTGTTGCTCATAAAGGTGGTCTTTGCAAATATATGCACAACAATTCGTGTAAGATGTCATGTTAAAATACAACTAGTGATTAAGGACAGTTCCAGAGAATGAACTACCTCCTTACCTAGCAGCCCTCCTGTTGAAGAAACAGAAAAGTCTTTTGCAGTAGTTAGGAATCTTGAAAATGAGGGAGGAAAAGGTTTCTTGACCAAGTCACGTAACACTCTGTCCTCTGTGAAGCACAAGTTAGTATGGTATGAATTACACTTAATGATTCATAAAATAACATTTCTGAAATCTGCTCAAGCAAAATCCCTGTGGTTGGGCTGAAAGTATTCTATTGTCTCTGGCTTTTGTGAGTTAAGTGAAAGCATCAGAAAAGATAATCTTAAAAATGACTGTTCCATTGTAATGTGATCTGTTATTCTGCAAACATGAACAAGCAGCACTGTAATTCTTGAAACGTGCACCTGTGGGGATCAGTATATCCAGAGGAATGAAAATACTTTCCATTCTTTTTTAACACCTTTTATATAAAGATTAGGTGGCAGTCTTTGCTTAAGGCTGCCTCAAGGAAAGAAAGATGTGCTTTATTATACCAATTACGTTGGTATAAGAAATCTAGTATTTGTACTTTTCTTTTAATTGTAAAATCTGCATGTCTCTTAGCTGTACACATAATTGTAGTATGGAAAGAAAAGTGATCATTTCTGGTAAGAAAATAATTAAGGAAAAATTTAAATGTGAGTTTTGTAAAGTTTTTTTAATGTTTTTTTAAAGTGACTTTACTTTCAGATATGCTTCTGAGTATTTTTAAAATTTGTATTTAAAATTAATCCAAAGTTTTAGTAATCAAATATTTAAAGATGCGGAAATAATATGAAATCTCACCATTTCCATTGGAAGGAATTAATTCCCCAGTAATTTTTATTTGTAACAGAGTTGTTTTAGTCAACTGTACTCTGATAAATGCCACTTTTAATCAGCCTTCTTGCCAATCATAATTCCCATATAAGTATATGATTAGTGGAAGAAAAGCTCTCTGTATGTGACCTCATTAGGAGATCTCTTTATGAGAAAGAAAAGGAGAATTTAAAATCTATGTAATGAGGAAGGTGAGAATTTGTAATGTGAAAAAAAAAAATACAGGTTTTCCAAAGCAACTGAGTTTATTCTGACTTAAGCTGTTAGCAGAAGTACAAATGCTATTTTAAGTAACCCTGGAAGGAACCTCTGTGAGCACTGGGAAGAGTTGTGCCATGCTGCATGTGGTCCCCCCATGGGGAGGCATTACTTTAATTGCTAATTCAGTCTTCAGTATTTGCCAGTTCAAAGATCCAAATGTTCACATCTGAGAAACTCTCTTAGTTTTAAAAATCTTTATTTCTGATTCATAAAACGCACATTGCTATAAAATTTGAAACTAATCACTTCTTTTTGCTCCCCCCCTTAAAGAGCATCTGGGTTAGTACCTATGTGTTTACAATTTGCTTTGCTGCTAACGTGGGACTGTTGTATGGCGTTGTCTGCACTATAGTAATCGTGATTTTCCGCTTTCCCAGGTAAGAAACAATTTATTGAAATGTTCCATTAGCACTTCATTATGTATTCATTCTGCATATTGCTTCACAGTCAGGATAGACATACGGTATACTAAATTTAACAACTCAACTTCAGGGTTTTAGTTGCAGAAAATTGCAAGATAAGACAATTCAAAAGTAAAAGTCACATCTGTCCATTTACCATAGACTAAGGAATCTCTAAAACATTTTATAAAATGGCATTGTTTTGTGATTGTTCTTATTATTACACATCTGTAGGATTCATTATGCGAAGGTACCATAAAATCAACTGGAAGATTAATAATATTTTTTCCATTAGATATTTATTTGCTCCTTAAGGAAAAAGTATGTCTGGAAAGCTTTAGTAACTAAGAGCCTTTATAACTCCTAGTTACCATGTTGCACAGGAATTGGTAGTTGACAACTGCACTGCTAATATAGATTAATGAAACATAACTGTACAACTATTCTAATGTCTAACAAAAAGTGTAAGTTCTGTGCATGACTTAGAAAAGTCAGGACAAATAAACTAGAGCCATCAGAAGTTGTTTTTTGGGATTTTTTAAAATGTATTACAGTTGCTACTTTGGATCAGGAGTAAAGGGAAATATAGCTGAGGTTCATGATTGATTTGTGCTACAGAATTAATTCACAGCTCACCAGTCCTGGAAATGACTTGCTGCTTGCATGCAGTTGTTTGCATGAACACTGAATCCCACTGAAATTAAGCAGAATATAGACAGCTTGATTAAATGCTTGTTAAAGTTAATGATGTTACACATTTGTGCACAGCTTTATTCTCATAGAATAAGTTAAAGAACCAGCATGGAAATAGTTCAAAATTTCAAAGCTGTTAAAAATGATGGGAGATTGCTTCTGCTTGAATCAACTTTTGTGACAGCATTGTGCTATTCAGCAAACTAAAATTCTGCTAAATTCTGTAATAAAGTAAAAGGCAAGTTTTCATGTTTTTGTCCTGAGCCTGGATGTTAGAGGCTCTCCAACAACAGAAAGGGATGGATATCTAACACAAAAGAGCCTGATCTAGAGGAGACCTCAGTCTGAAGCTGCACTTATTAATGTAAATAACTCTTCCCAGTGATCTCTGTGTTCTTCAGTGAAGCAGCACACGATTGTCCATACCATCTAAAGGCATTGAACAAGATAGCAGCCTTACAGCTGGCACGGCACAGATGGGGTTAACAAGATAAGGTGTAGTGAGCCGTGCAGTCATGAGCAGAAGTGTTAGCAGAAGTGAAGCACGGAAAACACCATAGATTATTTATTGTAAAGTTTCTGTTCAGATGTCAGAGTACTGGATGTGGTACATGCTATGTATCAGACTGTATTAAAACCAGCAGCAGCTACAGCTTCATTTATGCAAAGATGAAAGAACAGCTGATGTTTGTAAGGCTCATTTATCTGGCCCCAATACCTGCAAATGCTCCTTGTATATTGGTGCATCTGTCTCAGAGGATAGATAGTTCCATAGTCTTCTGCAGTTAAATGTGCTCCTGTAAATGACATGTTGAATTAGAAGATCCTAACACTGAGCTCCCTTTCCAAGGCAATTTTCTCTTTTCTCTCTGTAGAGAGCATAGGAATACTGGTGCTTTCCAGTAAGTCTCCCATTTTGATAGCTAGAGTGCAATGTTCTGCTTCATCGTGAAAAGATGTGTCAATTTCAATGACAAATAAAATATCTTTGTTTTTCATGACCCACAGCTGTTCTACATATTTATTTTCCCTTTCCTTACAGTATGATTTTGCAGGTAAAAAATAATTAAACTTTACTTTTGAATATATAGATTATATATGAGATACCTTGACTTGAAAGTAGCTCTGGCCAGCAAGTGAAAATTAAAATTAAGATATTCTTCACAAGAGAATTTAATTATTAATATTTTCAAAGTGATCTCACAATTTTAAAATGAGATTTTTTCTCTTTAAGAGAATGATTATCAGAAAAGATAAGGTCTGTAATCACAAAAATATAGATTGCATTGTTGGACCTTTAAACTGTAGCTTGGGGTGTGTGTCTTTTTGTTTCTGCTCAAGACTACTAATGATTAAATGTACAGATTTTTCTCTATATACTGATTACAGAGCAAAGACACTGAATTTGAAAAATATGAAAGAAGTGGAATATAAATACAAAGCAGAAGATAATTGTGTAAGTTAATTTATTTTTTAACTTTTTGTTTGTGTGTGTGTTTCACTAATTCAGATTTGTTTGTTTTCTCTAGTTAGTTACCAGATGGTAATTGGGGAATCAAGGGAATTCTTTTAGGATATGACCACTTGAAATCTAATGCCAGGATAATGTAATAATATTAGAGATCGCCATCAGAAACTGGAATATTTTCATGGTTCTGCTGCTTGTCTGCAAAGTGAAGTTAGGCAAGTCCTCTTAGATTTATCTATCTTAGTTTATTTGTCATTTTTAGTTATGAATTCCTCTTTCTCAACATTTCCTAATTCCTAAATTTAAGGAAATATCTTGCCAGGAATGGCAAGGGCAATCTGAGCAGCAAATAGCAGTCTCTGTACTATTATCACTTTTCCTGAAAGTCCTTCGGTATTTTTATCATCCTCAATCTCTTTTCTGAAACCATTTCTCTCACCAACCCCTTGTGACCAGATTGTCCCAGAGGACACCACAAGGCTGGGCAAAGAGGGGCTGCACCACAAAATTGTCACAGACTGCTTCACTAATTTCATCACCCTGTGCACATGAAAAATGGATGGAAGAATCTCTCCCAAAGACTGGGTCTTTTAAATTTGGCTTCTTACAAACTTAAACCAACCAGTCAGATTCTTTTGGTTATTTTCATTACAATTATCATCAAAGTTGCTTTTTGCTCAGGTCTGTGGTAAGAAGAGAAGGGTAATGACCCACAGAGGTGAGGTGAACTCCCTCCTCCAAGAAGAAATGGTAGGTCAGCAGCCAAGACACAAGTAGAACCATGTGTCCTTTCAGCACAGAGCCCCATCACCAGGACATCCTGCCTTCTCCACTGTGGCAGTTTCTCCTATGTCCTTTTTCCCTTCTTAGTGCTAATGAAGGGTCTTATGTATCAGTAAACTACATGCTCAGCAGTTCGTGCTTCACCATTAAGCAGATCTTCTTTAAAGAATTATTATTTCTGGCAAACGTCTTCAGTCAGAGCTATCTTGGGCTAAAAATCCAAATTTCCAAGGGCTCAAGGACATTCACTGTTTTGGCACACTGAGAAATGTTGGAATGTGAAAGGTACATAAGAATGGGGAGGACTCTGAAATGTGAATTAAAAACGCTGTTGTTGAGGCTGGACCAGCTATCAATTATTATATCACTTTTCATTCCAATAAAAATGTTGGAGTAACTCTGTCAGAGATGGGTAACCAAAATTTGATTTGCCTGCTATTTTTCATATTGGTTCATGAAGCACTTTGTACAAATGCCTATACATTTTTTTTTTTAAGCTTACTGGTCCCCTGCTTTTTTTCCTCCTAATTCACTAAGATTAATGCCAGTAACCTAATAACAAACTAGTGTCTGCAGACAGTGGGGAAAATAACATTATGTTAGAGAAGCAAATTGCTCAAGAGCTATTACACAAAACAAAGAAGGAAAATATGCCTTTAATTGAATTTGGAGTCACTGGGTTGCAGCAGGCATTTAGGGTAATTTTTAATGTATGAATGTTAGGCTGATCCAAGTTTCTCTGGTAAGTAACAGATTAGACATAAACAACAAGACTTTTAAACATGAAAATATGCAAGCTTAATGATCTACCCTGCCATTAAGATCTGTGGATTTATAGGGGTTATTTCATCAATAAGAGAAAAGACACTTTAATGTGGACAAAATCAAAGGGTATTTAGAAGCTTATGTGAAACACATTTCATCCCAGGATTTCACTGGCACTGACCTCGTACCGAGCAGAGTCAGTGCTGTGCAGAGTGCACAGGGCAGTTGCCCCGGGCCTTCCGAGTGGTGGCAGGAACAGACACCTGAGATAAATTTCCTGCTTTCTTAGCAAGGACACGAGAAAGAGGAAGTTCATTTTTCTCTGAACAGTTCTTGTTAGCAAAGAGTCAAACCAGAGTCAGGAATAACTGGCTGGTCAAATTTAGGCACAGTTGACCTTGTCCACTGTGGACAAAAATTATACCCAAGTCTGCCATCTGTTTGATCTGGCCTTATGGTTTGAGCCTTTCAAGTTTTGGACCTTGTACTTATGGAAGCTTGATCATCACAGGATTTGATCTTTGCACATCAGTCTTCCTTTTTTTCTTATCTTTTATCTTCTATTTTGCCATGGCACTGAAGTGTCCACTTGTCTCCACAGCAAGCTGTGCACAGCACATAATTTTGGTGGGAATCTGTGGGATGTCAGAGCATTTCTCCATTCAAGCATATACCATACTTTATCTTTGAACTCTATTCCATACAAACTGAGACATTTTAACTGCCAGTTGAGTTTTGCCACCTGTCTGACTGTGGCAAAACTCAACTGTGGTATTTACTGCAATGACATCCATAGGTAAATTGCGCAAAGTCCCTACACATAGTCCTGGGTTCTTTGCCTCAGTTCAGGATGTTTGAAATGTTTCCTTTATTTCATGGTCACTGTGGTGGTGTCTGAGAGATCATCTCATTCCCAGAAGTCTGAACAGCGGTCTACAATAAGGAGCTAGTTTGTGTGGTTTGTGGCTCGATTTCTGTTTTGCTTGAAAGTCTGTTGGGAAAACTGCATATCTTCATTGCAATCCCAAACAATTTTTAACTACCTAAAAAATGGTCTGTGTTAGCTCCACTTACTTGTGTTTGACTGTGACCTTGTTACATGACTTTTGTTCGGAAGAAAAATAGTATTTTTTGGCCTATATTCTCTTGCAAATTCTTGATTTTTGCTTCCACTGTCATACCACCTGTGGAAGATTGGGAGTTCAGTAGAAGCAACTTCTACAGAAGTTTCCCTACAAAACCAGTCTTTAAGTATGTCTTGCTGCTGTCCAATATATTTATATATAAATATTAATTTTCTTGCTGGCTTTTGAAGATGTTTTATATGTACACCTTGAGAGTGAGAGAAATAGCACTTGTTTCATGCGAAGTATCTCCCACTTGTACCTGGGGGTTTCTGAACATTATCTGGTGTCCTTCCAAAATTGTTCTGCTGTGTAACATTTATGTTTTGAGCTACACAGCTACACTGAAGGTGCTGGTAAGCTGGCTGTAGCTTATTTAGTGAAGTGCAGACAGGTTCAAGGGCAACAGAGAACTCTCGTGTAGATTGTTGCGTTGGTTGTAGAAATGTGCTGGTAAAGCTTTAAGTGTGCCACTCAAGGTTGATCTGGATCCACTAAGTATTTTCATGGAGAACTATCTCTGTACTAAGGTCATCTTCAGGTGACCAAGATGAATACTGCCAGCTTTCCCCAAACCACCTGCAGTGTTTGTCCTAAATCTTTGTGTACTTTTTTCAAGAAGCGTTTGTCTAATAAAATATATTCCCTGTCTGCAAATGTTACCTTGCCTATGCTTGGGGATCACACCAACTGAAATATAAAGTGCTATATTATAATTATTAGCTAATAGTTCTTAGTATTATGCCTCATAATGTATATGCATTTTTCATGCTAAATAATATTATAGATAATTTTTATTATATATTACTTGTGTATCCATTGTTACTTCAGTTACATGTGAAGGCTGATCAATAGAATTATCTTTTAAATCATTCTCACAATCAAAAGCTCCTCCTAGGTTAATTTACAGGTATTTTAAAGTTTTTTAAAGAAATGAGTCTGGAGTTTGTTCTCCAAATCCAAGATGAACTTTTCAGCATTATGTTTATTTCATTCCCCAGGAATCACTAAAACAGGTAAAAATAATTTCAGTCAACAGCCCGTTAGTCTTTTTGAATGCCAGAAAATTTCACACTGACCTGTTAAAGATAATCCAGAAGGATGGCATGAGCAGCCAGGTATGTGATATTGTAAATAAGGTGGGATGTGCTTTACACTTCAGTAATCACCATGACTGGCTTGAAGATTGTGTTTGTTTTCCTCGCATTTCTTAGAGAATTCAATCAGATACTGAAACAGGTATAATAAAGTTACATTAGAAATTATTCATTTAGAATAAGATCTCTTCTATTTCTGCATGTGATCCTGCAAGAGACATTAAAGCACTGATCCAAACCTCAAAAATTTCTAGAAGAATTTACATAATCTCAGCTGATATAAAGCTAGGGTTTTAGAAAAACAATGAACTACAAATATGCTTGAATAAAATGTGATTTTTTTTTTCCTGGAGATAAGTCCTTGAGAGATGGACACTTCATTTCTAACTATAAATAATTTTGAGAGAATTAGGAAGAAAGTGGCTACTTTTTCCCTCAATGGTGTTGCTTCTTTTTCCTCTTTTGCACTGATTGTATTAGAAAAATGAACAGTATACAAATTAGGTATATCACATTTTTGGAGAATATCCCTGTAAGTATAGTATTTTCCAAGTTCATCTGCACGTAACTACTGCAACTTCCTGCAACACTTCCTAAAAGGGAAAAGTTAAATTATAATTTTTCTATCAGTGCCATGAAGACATTCCAATATGATACAATGCTTACTGTAGACAATTTCATCCAGTTTGGCAAACTGGGCTGAGAAAATCCCAGCTGTGTCTTGGATGGGTTGTTAAGACAGCAACATGTGTCTACCACCTCTGCTGCCCCTTGACAAAGAGTTGTGCTACCCATTTGTGCTTGGATGGGCAGAAATTTAGCTCAGAAAATGGGATGCTTTTTTCCCTTGGTTTTGCTAGGCTGACTGATTTGGATTAGTATGATAAAAAGACTCCAAACAGAGAGAAATTACTTAGGATTTGCATGGAATTAATTTGAGTCAATTTAATAAGTTAATTTGTATGTTACTTATAAAGGAGATTTTATCCTTTGTCCCTTCTGTAAGGCACTCAGCAGTATAGCTGCCTGAAACACTGTGCTTTTTTAAAAATTTTTTTGTTGTTGTTGAGTAAATGTCTTTCTGTAGCACATAATGGGTGTGAAAAAAATGCAGTTTCACTTTTGTTTCTGTGCTCTGTTTCTGGTTTTAACTCAAGTTTCTACTGAGAGCTTGCATATTGAAATAACTATTATAAAAATTATCCAGATAAATGTAATTCCTTAATAAATTTACTCATCAAAAATGTTCTTACTAAAATATTAGCACAGCAGATGAGATTGCAGCAAGGAGAAAATTAATCAAAAGTTAATCTTATAAAATCACTGCCAAGAATTTTTCTTGTCAAGGACATTTTTCCCATCTTTTGACCACTTCTTAACCACCCCCTGCTTCTCCAAAAGCATTGTGCCCAAAATATGCTTTCTAGTGAATCCAAACTTGACAGAAGTTGAGCCAGCTAAAAAGAAATTCAAATATCAGTTTAAGGATGTGTCTCAGTATTCTTCTAAAGTTATACCAGAAAATATTATATATCCAACAGGCTGTTGCATAGGACATGATTTTGGAGAGAATGAGTTAACTTTGGTACTGAGAAACAGAATTTTTATGTATTGCATTGATTTTACTGTGCAATGGACTGTTGGACTGGTTTTTTCTTGGTATGTTAATAATTTGCTGCTTTTATTTCAGTGTGAGCAGAACACATTGCTCTGTTCATTTTCCAATGGAAGTTGCCATGGTGAGTTTATTATCTACAAATGGTGTTAAAAGCAAGATGGATGTAAGTGTGCAAAACAGTTCCACATTTTTCTATATATTTCTAGGTGCACACAAGTTTTGTGGAAATAAATATTTTCACTTAGACCAAACATTCAATGAAGCATGAATGCTAAACAGTCTAAAATTATGCTAACCTTGGCCTATTATGTCCTGTAATTCATTCTGGTTTTGACAGACTTTTTAAGATTTCAAAAGCAGGGAGCCCCTTGAAAAAAGCCTTTTTCATAGGAGTGGAAGGTTCTAGTGGAAGTCTCATTGCCCATCACACGAGGGTTGGAACTAGATGATTTAAGGTCCCTTCCAACCCAAACCATCCTCTGAGTCTGTGTCCCTGCTTATTGCACTGGAATGAGTGTGTGTGTAAAGAGACAGGTACATAGTGGGGGAAACACTTCCCGTACTGTTGCCTGGACTAATCTTCAGACCAGGCTGAAGAGACTGTTTTGCTAAGCTCTGGTCTTGGGGTTTTTTGTTTTTTTTTTTTTGCATGCAGAGTTGAATATTAGTGTGAAAAACTAAAAGTAAGATTAGAACCATGTTAAATCTTTGGGATCTTTAAAGCCACAGAGGAGAAAATCTCAGAAAATGTCAATTGAATTGTTAGTGACATGATAACCACCAATATTATACAGTATATCAATACAATATATAATAAAAACCCTTAGAGGTTTTCTTTCAATTAAGGATTAAGCTGGAAACTTCACTCTTTCCACATTTTGTAGCACTTAAATCAAACCAGAGCACATACACTCCCATGGGAGAGCTGCAGCAACCTTCTGCAGCGGATACTTTATACAGATGACTTCATTGTGGACAGAATTAAAACAGTGTTTATTTAAAACACTTACAGGCATTAAGGCCACTGTAGAAAATCTGATTTGGAGGCTGTTGTCTGAATGTTTGCATTTGTTAACTAGACTCAGGACATTTTTATGGTACTACAGTGTTTAGTTAACTTGGGGGTGACAGAGTGCTTTGCTGTAGTATAGCAACCTATGAAAATGGTTATTGAAGATTATATTGTATTTTATTGTCTATATTGTAAAATATTATGTTTGAAAATATCTTACCAGTACATATTTCAGTCATCTTGAAGATGAACTGGTTTCTCATATTACAAAAGTGACAGAAAGCACAAGACCTCTTTTCCAAATGCCTAAGTCTGCCTTGAGGACTTAAACACTGTTGTTACTTATATTAACCAGTCTATGGTGATTCTTCATGGGGTCTTTTCAACAACAAACAGAGAAAAAAGAAAAATCCCTTTAAAGAGGAAAGCAAAATGCTGAGCTTGAATTTTCAAGGATGTGAGCATGAGGACACAATCCTTAAGCCTTATGGGAGCTGTCCAGGAAAACATGGAAATTTAAGTTTTTGTCAGAATCTTTCCTTTCTCCCTTTGGGGAATATTGTCTGTATCAGCAGCAAATGAAATGGCTGTTCTGGCTCATGCCACTGATCCAAAGAGGGTGCAGGTCTTTACCTATCCCCCCATTTAGAGGCCAGGCAGCCTCTACTGCAATTCAGGATGCAGCAGGGAATTATTACACTGAGCCTGGGAGATCACATGAACCCTTTCTGGGTTTCTATCACAGTAATTTTCAGGAGGCTCCCTCTAAAATCCTATCTTTTTGTTTGTATGTATCTATTCATGTATGTTGCACAGCACAGAGACAGTAAATGTTTGGAGGTGCAAGTCCAAAAGTCTTTTCTCTCAGACTACTGTCCGAAAGGAATTACCATCATTATAAATTTGCATTATGGGGGAATTCCAAGTCCCCTCAACAGTTTAAAATCTTTACCTCTGCTCTGCCAAAGCCATTTAGTTTAACTCATCTTTACAATCAGAATTCCTCTCCTTCATATTTTTTTTCAGTTGTGTGCATTATGATAACAAACATTTGTTCACAGAACAATGCAAATTCACAATGTATGATGTGCATTATTTTCTAGTTTTCCCTTTATGAAAGCCAGGAATCATTTATCTGTGTGCTAGTTCAGGATGCATTTAGAACAGAGTACGTTTTGATTAAACACAAGATGGCCTGAGGTTGAAGAATGAGTATAAGAACTTTGCAAATCTTACCAACACAATTTTCTTCTCCAGTATCATTATGTAATTGTGTATTAGAAAATAACCCAAGCAAAACCAGCATAGTAAAACCTTAGGAAAATTAAATACTCCACTTTACATCTATTTCTTCCTTATGGGTGAATATTAAGTTAAGCCATAGGCAGGTGTTTTGGGACTATGGAAATCAGTATCATATCAGAACTTAAAAGAAAGCTCCATTAATATATTCTGTCTGTCATCACTTCTTTCCATTGCCCTGAAGGTTCTTCATTTGTTCTTCCAAAATATGGCACTTGCTTTCCTAATACCCCAGTACATAAAGATAAAAATTTTATTGTGATAGTTTGGGCTTATTTTGTTGAGCTATCATCATTCTTATACCCATTTCTTGAGTATTGTCCTTTAATTAAAGGTTTTAATTTATCAAATGTGTAGGTGAGTTGGTGCAGCCATGTCACAGGGAGAGATGTGTTTTGATATTAGACTGCAGTGGACTGAATTTCTTTGACTACACTGGAGTCTCCGTGCTTCTTCAGGTATTCATGACACTAGAAACATTCTGTATATGTTATAATTATACATATGAGTTATTGGGGCCAACGACTAGTCACTCTGCCTATGTCACTGGATAAATCTTTCACCCATAGAAAAGACAAACACGGATTTGGTATTAAACTGTACCATGTTTATATATAAAATTACATTAAAATATTTCTAAATATTATGGGTAACAGTGCAAATGTATATATCTATATGTAATGAAGAGGAGTTTTGTAACTTTCCCTCTTTTTTTTCTTTCTTTTTTTTTTTTTTAAGTTGGTTTAGGTCATATTTGACCCTGCCATGTCAGTTGTAGAGACAAGTAAATTTACCACTTTAAAATTTCAGCTTTAATTCTGTGATTTTATCTGTATATTCTACTGTCTGCTAAGCCAGAAGTCAAAACATGATCTCCATCCTTTCTCCTGTGGGCAGCATATGTTGCAGATTGGGTTCAGGCAGTGCAGGAGTTCCAAAATGCTCCCAGAAGACTAAACTCAGCAGTCACTGGTTACTGCGGTGAATGGAACTAAGTCCAGATGGTGGCTGGCCACAACTGGTGCTCCCTTGGGGCCAGTCATGTTTAATATCTTTGGTGATGATTTGGACAAGGGGATCGAGTGCCCTCTCAGTCAGTTTGCAGATGAGACCAAGCTGGGTGGGAGTGTTGATCTGCTGGCGGGCAGGAAGGCTCTGAGAGGGGTCTGGGCAGACTGGATCATGGGCCAAGGCCAGCTGTGTGAGGTTCAACAAGGCAAAGTGCTGGGTCCTGCACTCAGGTCACAACAACCCCACGTTGATCTTAAAGGTCCTTTCCAACCTAAACAATTGTATGAGTCTATGGTTCCACATAACAAGCAGTTCTATATAGTTGATAAAAAATTATGTTCAAAAGAATTTCTTACACTTCCATCAGATCTGGAGTTTAAAAGTTGTGTAGTGAGTACAGAGTTAAGTGGATATGGAAGACTTGGTTTGCATAATTTTTCTGAGTATGATGAAGGACTAGATTTGAACTTGGGTCTTGGCTCAGACCTCTTGTTGCCCTAACAATTTTCTCAATTTACTGCAGTGATTGCACAGTGAAGTAAGTGCTGCCTTAAAATATTTTAAATTAAAACTACACATATAAGCAGGGATATAATGAAAAAGAAAACTGGAAAAATAAGGTTAGTGGGAGTGACTATTAGCGATCTCTTTGAAATATAGGGCATTCAATATTGTATTAGTCAAAAAACTTGTGAAATTGATTTTCAAAGGGCCTTAGAGACCTCCAAATTACAAATTATGTCAAAGAAGTCTTTTGACAAATTTGCGAGAGGTAAGTCTGGCATGGGCTGTGAAGGGCACAGGTTGGTAGTGCAGCCTCTGGACAAGACAAACGGTTGGTCCAAAACCAAGTTACCCCTCCTCCTACCAAGGACACTCAACATGTCCTTGTTACACTCCTTCCCAAAATATCGTCACTGATGTCAGAGATGGAGTATTTTGGAGCTGAGAAAGATTTTTGCTTTATGTTAAAAATAGAATATTCTGATGTGGTTTCCACTGAATCTCCTCTCTCAGAATTCTTCTACTTCACATGGATTATTTAAACATTTTTTGAAGCAGTAACTGCTTTGGATATTTCCCATTTGGCAGAAAAATGTCCTACTCTGCTTTTAGTTATTTTCACTTTTTTTTTTTGTTTTGTTTTGTTCTGGCTTTGTTTTCTATCTTACTAATATTTTGTCTCTGGGGAGTTGAACACTTTCAAAGAAAGAATAAAGAACAACTTACTGCTGAATGCAGCATGATAATTATGGTGCTTTTTTGATATAAGTCTCAAAGTTTCCTAGGTCTGAGTCCTGTCTGTGTGGACTGGTAGTAAGCATATGGTAACAACATGGGAAAACATGCTGAAGAAAGAGAAATGGAAATAATACCCCTAAACATACAGTCAGAAATTGCAAAATTATTAATCAAATTCAGTTTTAATTCTCAGCAGAGCTGGAGAGTACTGTGAAGAGGTGGCAAGAAATCAATGTGGCTTGGTGATGTTTGCATTATAGAAGGGCTCGCTCTGGTGGCTGCTGGCAGTACAGCTGCTGCAGCAGCACTCCGGGCTCTGCCTGCCTTGAACATGGGCTTTTTGTGAACTTTCTTCTCTGTTGGTATTTTAAACTGCTTTAAAAAAAAAAATTTCTTGTTTTCGAACATAGATTTATGTGGACTGTAAAAACAGATACATCGACGTGTTGCTAGCACACTGCAAAGGCAAGTATCAGTTTACAGTAAAAGTTTTAACATGATGGTTTATATATCTTCACTACCTTCTCAGTGCTCATGTGTTTGTTTTATTGCAGGTTCCTTGATAAAAGCAATGCAGTACGGTGGAAATCTTGACTCTGAAAATCCTGTATTTTTTGAATCTATTTCTTCAGCAATTGATGCCATTCAGATTCACAGGGTAAGACTGACAAGTAGGAGTAGGTGAAGCCTGGAAGGCTTCTTGGATGCTCACAGCATTTTGTTAAAGTCTGGGAAAGTCTTATTCACCCAGTGAACCTGTTATGTAGAAATCTTTTATCTGTCTGTAATCTACAACTAGTCCTCAGCCTGAAGAATGCAGTTTTCCATTTTTTGCTGCTAGCACTCTCTTCCCATCTCCTTTTGCAACAACATCTCGATCTTCTATGATAGATCCAGAGGTGCTGTGTTGTGGTGCTTTAATCTGGACTCATTCTCCACTGGAAAGATTTATGTCGTCTAGAGACACCCAACACAGCCTCTCAGTGAGACAAATTAACTCACAGCCAGTTCTGCATTACTGAAACTACACTCCTGTTTCTCAGCCTGGGATGCTCGAAGCTGCTTCACAAATCACAGCACTGGTTTGACTGAAATGGTTCTGGATCCCCAGCCAGTTTGGTTTGAGTTAGAAATCTTGTCTCTGCCCTGCACTGTAGCACGCTGTGTTGGCTCACTGGTGGAAAGAGGGGAATTGCACGAGGTAGAAGACAGCAAGAGGGAAAAGGGAGGCTTGAGCATCTATTTAGTTGCTCAATGATTCTTGTATTCCTTTTTAAAAAGATTGTAAACTTGGACTTGCCTCCTGAACTATGTGATCCTTTTCCACTGTCATGGCAGTACAAGTGAGTGTCCATTAAAAGCAGTGTCCTTTCCCATGGTTTTATTTATGATTGAAACATAGCTAGAGCTTGGCTCAGAGCCTTCTCCAAGAGAAATTAAAATCATCATGGTCTGCGGTTTGGTCGTTTGGCTTCTTTTCTTCACTTTGTATTTAACTAATTAAATCAGAATTGCCTATGGACAAAACCACTTTCCATTGATTTATCCAGATTAAGGTGAGTTGGCACAGTTGGTCTAGTGAATTGACCAGAAAAACATGTTCTCTTCAGCGCTTTTCAACATTTTTCATTATGTTGTCCTACAAAAAATAATTTCTTGAAATGGTAACTGCAGGGCAAAAATAATGGGGTTGGCTATTGTGTGTTTTGTCTGGGTCTGATTAGATGAATTAGAATGATTGTTGTGTTATAAAATGTCTGCATTTTATACTGACATTATTAGCTTGCCTAACATTCTTGTAAGATAGTTTTGTACTAGCATTCCCATTTTATAGAAGTGGGACATGGATAGACCAGGACAAATGCTCATAGTGAAAATGGGGAGTTAAAACTCAAAGCCAACTTTTTAAGGAACTGATTGCTTCTTTCTATCAAGCTGTCAGGCAAGTCAAACTCTGCATAGTGGCCTAGCAGTTTAGTCTGAAAGACTTGCATGCAACCTCAAATTTTACATGTAATTATGAACATATATATACTGCTGATGCTTCTTCAGAATAGTCACAGTATGTGCTTCAGGGATGTTAATGTATTCATTATGTTGAACACCTGAAGATAAGGTGGACAGGAGTGAAAAAGCAGGGTGACTGCAATAGCAGCAGCACACTGCAGCTACCAGTCTGTGTACTCTTCCTGTGCCTTTTTAAGGTGCTGAGGTCAGTAGGACTCTTGAGTGTTAACATGGCAGAATACGAGAGAGAAAAAAATACCAGGAAGCAGTTGGAGACGAACAGAAAGTGATTTGTCCCAATTCACATTTCAGCTTCCCCATATAGCAGGAAATAGTCTTCCAGTGTCAGAAAGGTAGAGATAAGAGGGCTTTGTGGTCCATTTTCATCTCTGCTGCTGTTCAGAAATGCAAAGATACTCTTATCTACGTGCTCCAACAAAAATGTTGTGTTGTTCTCATTTTTATGTTTATAAATTGATAAGATACTTGCCTATTACTTAATGCAGTTAATCTTAATCATACATAACTTTTTGAAATATTAGTGGCATTTTCAAGCTAGCACTCCATCATAACCTAATTTTACATTATATTCTAGGAAAACATTATAATACATTTTTTTCTGTTTCTCTCATTTTAGAATTACAGCAGATTCAGTGAACAGAGTGAAGTGTGATGCCCACCTATTGAGCATAGCAAGTTTCATCTGCTCATATTCAAAATGAACTACATCATGGCTTCTCCTTCACTTTTTTCTCCAGTGGATCTCATAGATGATCTTTTGTATACCATATATATTTAGTACATTCAGTAATGACAGATCTACCTTTCAGAGAGAAAATCTTTCAGCTGTGATCACTCGGAGAATTTTTATGCAATTGTTCTATAGTGGTTTTATAAAATATTTTTATATACATTTAGATACAAATTATTAGAAAGCAGACACGAGGTACTGTGTTTACCAGTTAGGTGTATTCTTTTAGGTATCTTCTATTGTAACATTAGTTGCAATATGCATCTGTAGTTTTGTGTATGGAATAGAGACATGAATTCTTAAAAGAGTATGTTATAATTAATACAGTATCTGCAGCAAGGCATATAGCAATGCATGCATTTTCTAATGGCTTTACTTACTCTTTCCTCTGTTCAAGACAGCCATTTGCAGTAACAGCATCATATCACAGCTATCATATGCTTCCACTTTTTGGTACTTGGTTTTGTATGCTTTTTAATGCCTGCCCAGATGGATGGGAGAACTTGCAAGTATATGCAGAAAAGGCAGATACATGTTGACTAAGAACCCTGGATTGCCTCCCTCTCTATTTGTTGTCTTGTGCTATTATGGTTTGCTACATTTTCAAAGCCACAGGTGTTCTTTAGCAGTCTGAAGAGGAAAAACTGGGTTTTTTCCCCCAAAACTTATTATTTTTTCCAGCACATTTTTTCCCATCTGCATTTCCAGTTTGAGCTGTGATTTGTTTGGTGTTGAAAAATCTTCAGCTGAGGCAGCTGAAAGGTGACAATAGTGACACATAAGGTGTGTGCCACACTTCAGCCACAAGCCTGATGCAATGTGCAGTATACTGTGTGTGAGCACACAGAGTGGGTGGAGGAACTCACAGGCTGAGTATTTGGTTTGTATTTATGGGTTGTCAGCAATTGTATTCGATCATACTATCACACAGCTATCGTGTTATTTGGCAACATTTAAGGCCTTCCAGTACCTGAAGGGAGCCTACAAGAACCATGGAGAGAGACTATTTGCAAGAGCATGTAGTGATAGGACAAGGGGAATGGCTTCAAACTGGAAGACAGTAGATTTAGACTAGATAGAAGAAAAATTCTTCACTGTGACAATGCTGAGGCACTAGAACAGGTTGCCCAGAGAAGTTATGGATGCCCTGACTCTGGAAGCATCCAAGGTGAGGTTGGATGGAGCTTTTAGCAACTTGTTCTAATGGAAAGTGTCCCTGCACATGGCAGGGTGATGGAACCAGATGATCTTTAAGGGCTTTTCAAACCTAGGCTGTCCTATGATTCTATGTATGATTTTTCTCTTGCCTTTGTTCCCTTATGTGAACACCAGCAGTAAAATGTGAGTTGTGCAAAAAGGAATCAACAAATGAGAAAGATAAGGAAGTAGGGGTTTTTGGTTTGTTTCACCAACTTAAAAAATCTATGGAAGCTAAAGGTAAATTAATATGGCACAGCCATAACAGCCATCTTACACTACAGAGAGGAGGGAAGTACAAGGAGGCTTTGTGCAGCTGACACATATAGACAAAATCCAGTACTAAGCATTCTGTTTTCAGCAGCAGTTACATCTGTATGCTTGTCTGGACCCTCCTTGCTCTCTCTGCCCAAAGCTGCTGCCTGCAGGAGATGAGGTGGTTCACGGAGTGACTTCTGCACCTCTACAGAGTTAAGATATTGATATGCTTTTCCTCAAGTTTTGGTGACTCCACACTAGTAGATGATAATGGGAGAGAACTGTGAGGTTTTTTCCCTTTCCATTATGAGTGACTCTTGTAGTTATTCCCTGCTTTGTCCCACAAAGGACTAGAAATGTTCTGTACAAATCCTTTTGAGACTGCTTTGGTAATTACTATGCAAAAAGCTGATAAGTAACTGTGAGAAACTCATTATATGCAGGAGAAATAAATTCTGTACATTGTCCCAAGCACATTAATTTCAGATGCTGTAGTTGATTGCAAATGGCTCATTACATCACTGGACTCAGTAACAGGCTATAACATTTGATTAATAATTTCCTGAAACAGTTTTAGTAATTTATTAACACTTTAGAAACTATTTACAATGTACTTTAATCGTAGAAGCATCAATTTTATGTCACAGTTGAATGGAGATTTCTACTTAACTGCAAACTGAATAAATGGTATCTTTTTTACTAGATTCAGCATTTGTTCTTTGTCAGTTAAATGTTTTTTCTGAAAATTTATAGATTAGTTGGTTAATGAAATCGTTAAAAATAGGGTCTTTAGCAAAGATAACATCACTTTTCAGGAGACTTTCACTTTTATTCTGAATGATCTTGTAAATGGAACAACACAGATACTTTCAAAATTCCTTGTAGTATTAGCCTTTTAAGAAAGCTTCTGCATTAAATAATCAATTTTGTAGTGCTTATCAAAATAGCTTCTAATTTTTACTGCTTTCAATAGAAATAATTTTTGATCAGTTAATGGCTGGTTTAGCAATGAACATTCATCTTCCATTAGCTGCAACCTTCCAACACTGGGCTTTGGGATAATATTTCTGTAATCTATTTTGCTATATATAATTAGTCTACATAACTTTCAGTTTCTGAGAGTATGCATTGTTAATTATATTCCCTGTCTGGCAAGTGGCATCACTTAGGATAGTTGTTTCTCTGCAGAACAGTGTTTAAGGGGCATGTGAAGATAGCTGCCCTTTCAATTTCTTCTAAAATACCTGTACTGAGTTTAAGCTCCATCTAACCAGAACTGCTCTATACAACTATGGGCAGTGAGGGAGGGAATGTAACTTCTTTTTTATCATTGACTTGGAAGAGCAAATTACAAATCACTGATGCAGTTTCCATTTCTCCACCACCCACTCTTCTGAGCTACTGATGTTTACTGAAACATGTGACTGCACCTTGCCTGCCCTCAGATGGCCTGGAGGCCACTGCCATCAGACCTCGTGGACTGCCGGCCCATGGTTGGTCTGCTCGTGGGATGGGAGTTGCTTCATGTCCTCCCCGAGTTGCTCTCTGCAAATGCCTAGTGATGGTGTGTTTGTGCCACTGACAGAGTCAACTGCCAAACAACTGCTTAATTCTTTGGCGAAGATTTAAGGAAACACCCTAAACCTTCTGGATTAAGCTTTGGAGGCAATTGCCACTATCAATTTCTACCCTTCTCTCAATGTTTTTTTATATAGACTGTCCCACTGGCTTTCCTCTGGCTCTCAGAATTATTATGTAAATATATGGAAGCTGAACCCAAAACATCACAATTAGCTTCACTGGAATGGAACAGAATTAAATAGAATAAAGTAACATTTGAAAGAAACCAACAGGGATCATCTAGTCCAACTGCCATTATTATAAAAGAATATCAAAATTAGAATAAACCATACTTACTCTCCTGATCCAGAAAGGCAAAGGGAACCAAACTCATCCTGTAGCAAAGAGCCTGCACAAAGTCTGTGTGTCTTATGGCTGTGCAGGCCTGGCCACACTATCCCAAAGGAGTTGGGAATTACAGTAAGGAGTTTAGTTATTTGTGCCCTGCTGCTGCAGACATTCCTCTTTGTACCTTCAGCCTTGTTTACTTGAACATCCCTAGGGGTTTAAGAATAATGCAAAGTTTCATCAAGTGTGGTTACATCTGTGAGCTTACGAAGTGATAGCAGTAAGAGCAAACTGTGGAGTTCCTCTGTTCTCAGTGATTTCTAAAGGTGCAAGAGAGAGACTGCACCTGCCAGCAGAGGCTTGAGGAAGTCTCTCATTTACAAACAGGTTTCAAGTAATGAAACTAATGAGTTTACCACTCTTAGTAAGCAATTCTGAAAATCTAATCATTCACCCTGTTTCCTGTATGCATACTTAGATGCTCAGATTTTATATTGCAAAATTCAGTATGTATGAGACACCCAGCTTTTGCAAATCAGCACTTCAATTTTGCACATTTGGTGTATTCTGCACTTCATAGGAGAACTTAAATACAAGAGGTTTTTTTTTTGCAGAGATGGTCCAAAGTTATCAGAGATTACATATTTACTTGATGTGTTTATGAATTTTTAGTTATCTTTAGGAACTTTTTCTACATTTCACATAGTATATCATGTGAGTAAAGAGTTTTTCTCAACATTTAAGATTTGCTAACCAGAGTATATTAAAATGGTGATCTGATCATAAGAATTTGTTTCATACATTCCAAAACAAAGCAAGCAATGAGGAAAAAAAGAGAGAGCAAACTGATGTTAAAGAATGAGTATAATGGCAATGAAAAATTAGGCATAAAATATGTAATAAGGAAAAGACTGTTAACATTATATTTATGCAAATTAAATGTTTCTAATTCTTGTCATATGTCTTTCATTTTAAAGGTTATTTGCCCTGATTCTGTGATTCAAGTGTCACAAGGTCTGGCTGTAGCTGCTTTGACATAATTTATTTGGCAGCTCTGTGTGTCATAAATATATAATGTAACAAGGAAAGGTATCTTCACTGTTGAATGAAAACATTAATGTGTCAATACTGTGTATGAATACTGTCTGACATTTACTAGTTTCAAAAATAAAATACACAGTATGCCTTGAAAATATGGTATTCCTATTTTTGGAAGACACTTTCTTTGTCTACAGGAACTCATAAATAAATGAAGGAGAGCAGTTCCAGAGTGCATGCTAAATGGTGCCTTCATCATTAAGGCAGATTTTATTAAAGATCATATAATCTGTATGTTTCCATATGCTTTATAATGCATTTAAATATTTTTTCTTTTTCCGATTCCATGTATTAGCATATGCAAGAATAAATTTATACCGAAATAAATTGGAATATGAGACAGTTTGCATGTAGAAGGAGGAAAATGCATTTTTTCATTATTGAAATTATTTTTTTTAACATTCTGTACTAGCCACTTTGTTAGGAGATATGCTGCCTTCTCCAACCTCAAAATGTATTAA